ATGCTGATTACATAAAAGGTACAGTAGCCTTCAATCAGTGTTCTTTGTGTGGGCAGGTAGCAGGTGTGGTAGCAGTTTTCAAAGGGGCTGTGTGTCTCTGCTTTGAGTCTCCGTGAGTGACCCAGCAGGCCTCTGATGGGAGCGTCATTATTCTTAACAATTGTAATTTGGTTTAATCGGCCCATCTCGGCTTTGCACGTCTGGCTGTCTGTCAGGAGCTGAGACAGAGCTACGTAAGGCCTTCCTGATGTAACAGTGATTTCTGTGCTGTCAAATCAAGCAGCAGACTCCTTTTGGATGGAAAAGGCTGTTTAATATTCAAAGTTATATAAGCCTGACATAATGTACCTCGTTGCAAACAATCCAAGCATATGAGGTATGCATAAGACATGACTAGAGTTAAATATGAGGGGCACTAACTTTTCTGGTTGTCTGCTTGTCTCCATGGAGATGTGATTGCTTTTGCCTAGAATATTCCAGAGCTTAGTATTAAACTTGCATTTATTCAGTTAAAGGGCTTTTAATTGTTAAAAGAACTAAAAAACTGCTCCACAGATCGTGTGAAACTTGTAAGCCTGGTAGCATCACATGTAGAAAAGTGAAATAGTATAGTTTGCAATCATTGCGTGAAATAGGCCGAATGATCATACCTTCTCAAAAGTCACAAAAAATGTTGTTGTGTTCTTCACCCACATTGCCTAGTATGAAAGTGGCGTGTGAGTGATGGTGGTGGTCGGAGGGGGCGATGGCACAGATTGGCAGCCACACTTCCTTCAATGTGCCCCAGGGCAGCTGTGGCTACTATGGTAGCTTACCACCGCCGGGTGAATGAATAATGATCTGTAAATCATCTTTGTGACATATGTCTATGAAAGAGATATATAAATTTAAAAAACCTTACTTATTGGTCAGTATAGTCTAGTTTACAGTGGTGATGTTTCTGATCTTAAAGGTTCACTATGTAACCTTTTTGGTGGTGTAGTGGCTCCTTGTCTGCTGTAGTGTCGAATATTCAGGCAATAAGAAGCTGGAGTTGGCACACCAAACAATAAAGATGCATAGTAGAATAACATCGAAATACTGTAGACTTTATTGCAAGAGACAAAACTCTTCCAACTTAATCCAACTCAATCCTTTTGTAACCTTTTTTGCTATAGAATATCCCGTGAATATGATTCTGCATCAACATCCTTCTATGTTTCTGCACAATATATAAGATCAGATGAAAATCAGATGCTATTTATAAAGTGTAAATTACATTTGCTCTCTGTGCCTTCCCCAAACACACAGCTGAGCCTGTTCCTAAAGACACTGCTGCGTTGTTGGAGCGCTCACTGTTTTCAGGATGTCCTGAGCTGAAGCTAAGATTTGCTGGAACAATAGTGTGACTCACCCATGCACGCAACCAGTCTCTCGTTATACACCGAGCCTTTCAAAGCAAAACAAACCAAACTAGCACAAATTTCTTTTCACTATTAATTTTTCTTACATTTTTACAATATTGTGTCTAGACTCCTTTTATTTTAAATATTTGTGATTTTATGTAAGAATTTATCTCCCTGGCACTTCGAAAATAGTTCTTGTGGTGCATAACTTGTCATAATTTTGCATATAAGTGAGTGGCGGTCTCTGGGCAGCACATCGATCAAAGCTGTCACAGCGAATGGTGTACAAAAGCAGACAGGCTCTGAGTGGCAGGTCGTCTTGTTGGACTGAAGTGAGAGAAATGCCCGGGGAGGAATTCACTGTTGAAGTCTAGGTGTGACTCTGCAGCCGCTCTGCGCTTTGGTCTGCGGTTTCAGACCTGCAGCCCAAACAAGGAAGTGGTTGGTTAGAGACAGGAAGTAATGGGGCAAGTCAATATAAAACAGAATTCAGTGTTTAACCACCAATAGATGAATGAAGAATAGGAAGTAGTAAGTAGTAAAGAGCTGACCTGATTCTGCGGCTGTGACCTTTTGGGGAGCACCATATTGTCACATGTGAAATAGTGAAAGTGTTAAAAATTAATGAGGCTTTTTACAACATGTGCTTAAATGGCCTGTTGGCATTTTATCTGCTATTATATAATTTAATGCGCACTTCTCTCCTGTAACAATCAGAAGTTAGCATACTATTGTAATATTTATGTTTTACTTTATGTATCACTTTATAAAAAATTAGGTCAATTAAAATGTAAAATTGTGAGCTATTGCAATAATTATTAACCAAGAAGTCTGACTTGACATTTAGTTAGCCACTTAATTGTTTAGAAATGATCAATCATTATGTGAAAAAGGTAGTCACAATTTCACTCTTCACTCATACTGTAGATAATATATTTGCAAAGGGAAGCGGAATAAAAAAAAAAATAAAAACGTAACCTTCACATTTTCCATGGAGACAGATACATTTTATGCCACATTGTGGAATATTATAGCCAAAGGAAAAACATTTTAATTGAACTGGCTATAAAGTAGCGCACACTGTGGCTTTAAAAAGACAACCAATACAAACACACTTTTTGCCAACACGCTGCTAAACATGGCAGCTTCATAGGAAACTCAATAACCCTTTATTTTTCACGCCTTCTTTGTTCACACTTGTCTTGTTTGAACGTGTTGACAAAGCTTTAGGCCTGTTTACTATCCTTCTTAAGCCCCGCCCCCTTACTTTGTTATTGTCACTGTATTGTCTTAACAGCCTACTCTGTGACACCATCTCCAGTGAGTGACTGAAGAAGTCCATTTGATTAACACACTGCACCTTATGTTGTGTGTCCTGACCCCCTTACCTACTCATAAATCATTCACTTGGGGCTCAGTTTCCCAATGTGGCCGATGGTTTCAGGTGACACACCAACTCCAGGTGACCTACAAGGACAACTATTATCCAGCGCAATGTATTCGTGTAGTTTTAATCCTTTGATACTGCAACCTAAGTGTATTTTAATGTAGAATTACGCTTACCTCAGCATTTAGGGATGCTGTGTCAGGCATCGAGGTGCTCCTCTTCCCTGAGTCTATCACATGGTTGAGATGATATGGGGTCAAAAATAGTGTTGCATTTAATTTGTGGTTTAGAATTTTGTTAAATTAATACGATTTGTCTGAGTTTTGGTTAAACAATATCTTTCTCTACATGGAAGAAATAAGTTGTGTTGCAGTTGTATATCACTGTCCATTAAACTTGTATAACATATTGAATATCCATGGGTTTCAGATAGGACCGTTGCTATAGTGATTGACAGCTATAAGTGAATTTACTTAGCATAGCAAAAGGCCTACATTATCTTGATCATTATCACAACATCAGTCATTTCATGGTGCTTCACAAAGTGTTTTGATTTCCACATAGATGTATTGTGATATTTGAAAACAGAACAGTGTAAAATCCACAAGTAATTCTCTCTCTTTGGCCCCAACCTGATCCCAATCCAAACACACACATGTTGACCACCTGGCCATCCTTGCACCTCTCCTCTCTCCATATGTTTGTGCTGCTGTTGACCTGTTGCCGTGGTAACTCTGTTTAGTGAGATGTCCATTTCTCTTTTACCACGGTGCCCCCCTGCTGGCCATCCTCAGACATTTTTCTTTTCTCCTCTCTTCTTTCCCTCTTCAGTGTTGGCAGCACATGCTCTCAGCTCTCCACTCTGAACTTGACATTCAGTGCTACCTGATGAGAATCCAACTGCCTCGCAAAGTTAGTTGTTTGGTTCATTTATCTTTTCTGCATCCTGCAACTCTGTTTGGAAGAGTGTGGTTGTTTTGAAACTAACATTGCTCTTGTTTGACCTAATTCTATGTCCATATACTTGCCACTTATCGGAATAAAAAAATGAATAAAACTGACAAATGCTCAAACATTCAAGGCTATTTTTTTCTTATTTATTATCATTCTTCGCACAATAAAATGATGATAGAAAATAGCATGTGTATATAGCAATATTCAAAAGCCAAGATTAGCCTGTTTGGTTATGTAAACATGTAAAAAAATAGATGACATTATGACATTAACATTGGCTCAGTTTACTCCTTCTTTTCAACATTTAGCTTTGTGTTTCCAGTTTTATTTTAGTGCGCACAATAATAACTCCACAATAACTTCACCGTGACCCTCTTGGCGTTCTGTATATAACCCTGTAGACCTGCTCTTGTGTATGGGTCTCCATTTAAGGCGCTGCACTTGTTCAAAGGAGCCGTTTCATAATAGGCCCAGTGTTGGCTGACCCTGAGTCTGGTTGTCCCACTTTGTCCCCCTGGTTCAGATCACCTTACAGCAGAGCCATAGGAGTCCACTGGGGTGTAGCCATTGTTCCAGAGCAGTTACGGAGCCCATGGAGTGGATCTGATTACCGGACATGGGCCTTATCCTGAACTTGTGATGACACACTTCGTGGTCCGTAATCAGCGCTTTATACTGTTTGTGTTGAACCTGCTTTGTAAGTCCGGCTTTCATCTTTTGTAGTTTGTTATCGGAAGGTTTGGACAAGAACTCTCACTTAACTTTGAGGCATGCTGGCCAAAATAGCAACAGGGTTTTGCAAATGCATTTTGGTGAGCGCATGAGAACGGTGTGGGTTGTGGCGGTGCTAAATGCAAGCTGTATTGTGTTGTTTTGTCAAGCATGAACAAATGTGTGACTCATGGTATTTTCTGACTCTTAAAATATACTTGCTGTCAACACTTGATGGAATATTTTTACAAAGAGTGACAAAGACATCATCGAAGTTCAGTTTTGTCACTTTCCGAGTACTGCATTAGTAATTGAGGGGAAATACATTAATGCATACTATTGTACAAAGTGACAATATATGTATAATGTCCTTCTTCTTGCACTCGAGCTAGAGAATATAGTATTTCATTATTGCAATGAAGTGTTTTTGTTCTGAATGGATCTGACTGATCGCACTAACTTTTGCATATCAAAGCAAGAGTAAAACCCATATTAGCATAGCTAGCATTTGTTTGTGATGGTCCATTTGGTCTGACTTTTCCTTGTTCCTGTCCCCTCCACAGAGCAGAAGCCCGAAGCACGGCCCCAGCCCTCAGCCTGGAGCAGGGGACCAGGTGGACCACATCTCCCTGGCCTCGCTCGACTCACTGGAGGCCATGTCTGAGGGAGACACGCCCAGCGCCTTCACCCGGGGCAGTCGGGTTCGGGCCAGCCTGCCTGTGGTACGCTCCACCAACCAGACCAAGGACCGCTCACTAGGTATGTACAGATACTATTAACTTTACAATCTGGTGACGTAACAGAAAGCGGAATGAAATCAGAGGCTTTTTTTTTTTATGGCAAATTCTTATGCCATGCCAAGCAGTTGAATAAATTTCAAAATCATTATTTACAAATATTTAGATGTTTTTGTCCTTAATACAAAAATAATGAATGTGCATCAATCCGGGCTTATCAATATTTAAAAATCTTCAATAAAGCGGTGAAACATCTTCAATTCAAATCTAGTCCAGATTACTACCCAACAAACTAAACTAAAATTAGGTACATATATTGTTGCCTTAAACTTGCACTATAACCTTTTTGCCAAAACTATAACATTTCCATAGAGACAAGCAGGTGGCATACCCTCCCCCAGAAAAAGTTACAGTGCAAATAATTTTATAATAAAATGAAGAATCTATCCACAAGTTGCTGCAAGACAGCTTCTCCTACCCACACTGAGGAAAGACAGGTAAGACATCCATCATAGTTCTTCAGGTAGCTAGAAGTTACATAATTTGCTTTAGCAGCTGCTTAAAACAGTTTCTATTTTATGAGCTATAATTTTGAATACTATATTTTACAGTTTCACCTTGGTACAGCAAATCTTCTTTCATTCCTTCATCCTCAAGTTTTCCACTCAAGCTCACTGCCAACACTTTTAATGAGAGTTCTTGGCCTCTGCAGTGAGATTACAGAATGCCCTATATGCCATCATTTACAGACAGTATTAGGAGTGGACAGCCTTATCGACGTATGTGCACAAAATCCATAAGTTGAGGACAGAGTTTGGCTCCCGCAGTCGAACACAAAGTCAAACGTTGTGCAGTTTTATCCTGGAAGGTTTTCAAATATGTGGTATGTCTCTCAATAATTACCAGGGCTTGTTGAGTGGCATGCCTTTTGACCTCAGTGAAATGAATGAAACTACAGGGAGCCACTCTCCTCTTCCATACCCCGTTGATGAAACTACAAAAAGCTACAAACAAATGCATTGAAAATACATCAGTCTAACTGAATATTGTAATATAAAGTATCTACAAAACATAAAATCGAATTGAATGTCATATGCTGCTGTATGAAGGATTCAGTTCACTTAAAACACACTTGAGGGAAGTTGGATTTTTATCGACACAGTGATAAAAGAGATAATACTAGAAAATGCACTCTTAAAACATGTAAAAAATATATATTCAATTTACTTTTTGGCAGTCCACCACTGAATTTTACAAGACCTAAACTGTACACTCCAGCTTTTCAATTCTTTGAAAAGCAAAGTACAATTGCCATGGCAGTGGGGGGCCATACTGGGATGGAGGGGAGGATCAAAAAAGGGGCCACTAGTTAGCTATACCCCGCCCACTGCCACACAAACACTCTCACTGGAAAACATTGCTTCTGTAAATCCTAACTCAAATCTGGAGCATGAATTGAAACAAAACATCTCTAAAGTAAGTACTATGATTACTGCACTGCATGAAAAAAAATATATAAATGTTTTGTTGTACTTTTGAATAGTTTTTTCTTAATCTAAAGTAATGTTTTGATGATTACTGATCTATCTTTCTATATCTAACTTTTAACTTGGATAAAGATCACACCATCCGCTCAGACAGTCTGCTATTTTCTTGCCATTTGGTCCGGAAACCCATTGACCATTTGCTTCCAATTCACTGTGAAACCAAGCTCTCAGGAATGCAACAGGACTCCTCGTTAAAACCCGGGCATTTTACTTTTTTCATTACTGCTGAATGGAAGCGAAGGTGAAGAATTCTAATCCAGCCAAATACATGCTCCGTCAATGGCACGCTTTGTCATGGCACTCATTTGCTTCGGAGTTGTTAACATCTGGCCGGAGAAACTAGCAGACTGTTAACATAACTGCTCTCAAGGGGGGGATGAAGTTAGCTTAAAAAATGGGCACTTTGTTAAGTTGCCTAGACAGAACATAAAGCACCACGCTCGCAGTTTTGATTTCCTGGATTTGCTCTCCCTCTTCTCGTCTCGTGGTGCATGTAGGATCTTGTAGGATATTTCGAAAACATCTGTTAACTTTTTTACTAACCTTTTATGGCACAACGCTAAAGCCATTTCTCTTAAACCTGCTATTTTCGGCTCACTTTGCAAAGGTAGCATTGCGGTGATTTATGCCTGGCACAAGTAATGCTTTAATGTGGAAAGTTTCTATAAAAATCTCCCAACAAATCAATTAAAGTGCGATTGTTTCATTGTGTTTTAAACTGCAGATAAAATCACAACGGTGGAGATTGGACATGCGTTTTCATCTCATTGTTTATACAAGTGCACAGTGGGCGTGTCTATAAATATTGTGGAGAGAGAGACACATCTGTTTTGCCAAATCACAGTACAAAAGCCACACCCATAGTTCAGAGGTTCAGGCCATAGTGAGTTTGATGCCTGTCTTTTACCGTTTCACCCCGGGCACATGGTCGAACATCAACTTTTTACTCCAGATAGTTCTTAACTAGTTTAACTTCTAATTGTAAAAGGGTGTGCGCTATGGTTTTAAATGTGGTTTTTCTAAGTACTATATTGATTTGCTTTGAATGTGAAATGAACCACACCCTCCATATAAACAATGCTTCAAAACTGGATCAGAGATTAAATGTTTTTCTGACTCAGATGTTACTTGAATTACTTGAAATATGACATATTGTACAAACATTATATGTTGTTTTGCCAGACTTTAGCATTGTCATTTGTGTACTGTGACACTTGAAATAATGCATGGTGTATCTGTATAAGGAAATCAGTTTATTGCAATAGATCAGAAGTGGATGAAGTAAAAACTATAAGAATTACAGTACAATGTCCAGCTTACTCAGGAAAAAAACAACAAAAAACTGTCATTTGCCATCAATCCTCTGGGAAGTGGGCAGATCTGATCCAGTACAAAAACTTAAAACTATGGCAACATAACAAAACAATGTAATTGCAATTCATGGCAATTGTATAATTACAATTTGATTTTCAGTGTATTTTTAGATTTAGGATTGAGCTGACAATGCACATTTTAAACAGGTCTGGGAGCAGCTGGGAGGAGATTCAAGATTCAACATTATCGTGCATTTCAGGACATGCTGTAGATGTTTAAAGCACAAGTTTTTTGGGTTTTTTTTGTAGATATTTTATTACATAAATAATTGCAGTCTTAACAATTTGATAATTGTGTCAGGAACTGTCATAACATATCTTAAATATGTATCATTTCATTTCATTGCTACTATACTTACAATACTATACTCTAAGTTCATTATCCCAAAAAGCACGCCCAGTTTTGCTCTATTCTCATCCATCTCCTTTAACAGTCTGCAAGTTTAGCATTATTAGCATTTACTATCACTACTTCCAACCATTGTATCTTTTGTGTTTTGTCTGTATAGGTGTGCTGTACCTGCAATACGCCGACGAGACCAAGCAGATCCGCATGCCCAACGAGGTGACCAGCATAGACACAGTGCGCGCTCTGTTTGTCAGTGCCTTCCCTCAGCAGCTCACCATGAAGATGCTGGAGTCGCCCAGTATGGCCGTTTATGTGAAAGACGACATGAGAAACGTCTACTACGAGCTGTCAGACGTCAGGTAGGACCGGAGTTGTTTAAACCTATTATTGTGGTGGGAAATTACTTAGATGTTGTGAATTATTGGGGGTGTCATTGATTTTCCCAATAGAGGCTGATATTTTTGCAGTGGGAAATAAGCAAAAATTAGCCTGTAAATGCTTTGGTTGCAGTTCAAGTACTGCATGAAAACAAATGGGCTGTTAAAATAATGTCCAAAAAAGTGGTGAAATATCACTCTATACCATTTATTGTACAACTTTTAATTGTTTTAAGGTACCAGTAATGTTTTTCCAGCTTTTGGACAATTATAGACAATAGACTCAAAATTCTAAATTTGCATGTGACAACAATTTCAGTGGATTTTTGTTAGCAAAATACTTCCTTGCCATGGCCTGATCTCAGAAGTTAAGCAAGGCTGGGCCTGCCTAGTGCGTGGATGGGAGAATGCAGGGAATTCCAGGTGCCACAGTGGGGCGCCAGTGGCAAAAACTGTCATTGAGTCCTATGCAGCCACTTCACCCACATTGCCTAGGCTGAATGTGGTGGGTACGCGTGTGTTGGTGGTGATGGAGGCCGAAGGGACTGATAATGCAGATTGGCAGCCTCGCTTCCATTAGTCTGCTTACTAACTGTAACATTTTAAACATTATTGTACATATGCTATAATGTGGGCTTTGTAAAGCCTACTCGCTGCATTACTGTATATATTTTGATGTACTACCAATGTCTTTGTTTAACTGTTTTTCACTCTCTTATGTAAAACATTCTGCTATAATTTGCATTTTTTTTAAGCCGAATGAACATTAGGAGCAGATATGTATATGTATCATTAAAATGCCTTTGGTAAAACAGCTTTTGGAAGCTTTTCAGTGACTCAATCAGTTTTACATTGTCAGCTGTTTGGCACTGTAGGCTTACTACTATATGATTTACATGCTCCTTAGAAAACTTATTCTTTGCCCCCTTTGTACTTTAGACCCCTGGATTAGCATTCACCACCATGCTTTATTAATAATGCAGAGTGCAGACTGGCAACAGACTAAAACAACTTATTATTGCAAGGGGAAAAAAACACTCTTTAAGACTTTGCCCTTTTCTGCGGTTCCCTTTCAGTGTGTACTTTGTGACTAACCCTTTATCTGGACTGTAAAACATTGTCTTGTGATTCTTTAGGGCTGGCACCGCACATGCAGCATTCAGTCCCACAACACTATGATAAGCAAGAGGATCGAGTATTTTTGATACTTACATTGGACTTACATTAACTCAGAATGTCGCATAATAGGCCTGCGTCGACGTATGTGCCCGGTGAAGTGGTGTGGTGGAAGACGAGGCAGGATCGCCCACGGTCTGATGGCGATGTTTGGGCTGCTTTCTTACACCCGGTTGCTTCTCCTTCTTACAGAAATATCACGGACCACTCCTGTTTGAAAGTGTACCACAAGGACCCAGCTCAGGTGTTCAACCACGGAGCCAGGCCGACCAATGGGGATGCCAGGGTAAGTGAATCTGTGAGCTCGATTGTTTGGTAACTCTTACTTTTAACTATACTAAATAGATTTAATTAAGCATGAACAGAGACTAATGAACAAATAGTTATTAAGAATGAGGCTTAGTAACAACTTAAATAAGGGGTTCTAGTTAGAAGTTACGGTTAGGGTGATTAAGGCTAATTAAGCTCTGTTTTTATAAAGTGGTACCATATGCAGAATCTTTTAACATCAAGTTATTCATGATTGCTATCAAGGCCAAAACTGGGATAAACCAGAAAAAAGTATGTCTGGACAAGAATATCTATCTTTTTATCTTTTATGCAGGATTGAACCAGGACTAAAAATAACAACCATAGCTGAGCAAGACACTAAACCGGGATCTGAACTAGGTCTAAATCAGGTCTAAACCAGGTCTAAACCAAACCAACCACATAGAAATTAAAGAACCTTAAAGTGTAAACAGATGGATTCAGTGGCGCAGGCTGCAAATTATCACCAAAATATGTTCACGTACCATCAGTTATACTCAAACCCAATTTTAGAACCACTCATGTAGATCCCACCTCTGTCTTGTTTGCAGTTAAGGGAAAGAATGTCCCCCTGCTTCCATTTAATCTGCCACTGGGGGGGTCCCATATTGTTCAGGCGCTCATGCTTGACTGCCGCTTGCTTAAGTCATTCAACAATTCAACACCACCATACTTTTCCTCTCTTCCTCCGTCCCTAATCTCTCACTCCCTCCCTGATTTGCTTCCTGCTGATGTAACAAAAGCTTCTCAAAAATCTTTTCCTCAAATTTTCCCTTCCTCAGAATCTGCCCTGGTAATCCGTCTGACCCTGCTATCTCATACAGACAGCATTACAGCACTGTGGTCAGATGTCAACAATGAAACACCTAGATTTATGATTTAAGCTCAGTGTTTTGCCTGGGAAATTTGAAAATATTGTGTAAACATATGTAGCCTTATTATTGACTGCACCATGCACTGTTGTTACTGTTTAACCAGGATGCTCTTGGCACTAGATGGGGAGCATTTGTCAAGTCTAATGATAGCATTATGAGGCCATGACATCTAGATTCTTAAATAGGCCTTGTTTTGAAACTTGATCAGAAAACACACACGTTTTAAATATATAACAATACCTCACTGCCTTTTCCAATTATAATTAACTTTATGTCAAATATTATGACTAAAAAGTGTGCATATCTGTTAAGTTTCAATACTATTTAAATCATACAAATATGTATTTTTACTGAACCTACTTGGTAAGTGCTAGTATTCGAGATGCCTTCTAAGCCAAAGTTTGATTTCTGATTGCGTACATGTTGCTTACAACTTTATATTGACTCTATAAACCTCTAACCATTGTGCCAAATATGACACAGGAACAAATTGAACAAAATATTTTCCTGATTTATGATTGGTACAACATGTCATAACAACTCCCCATGCTCCTGTAGCCAAAGTTTGTGCAGAAGTTAATCAGTAGACAAGATTGCATTCTCCCATAAAGGGGCGTGGAACCGTGATACGTAACTCGAGCAGTGATTGGCTGCCGGGATGTTGTTCATTTTTAATTCTTGGAGCCTCTTGTCTTAAGGGGCAGTTGAATTGTAAAAGTTTTTAAACAAAGCTACTAAGCATTTAAGAGCTTAAAACTTGGACATATGCTTTGACTGTTTTATCTTGGCAACCAATTTTAAAATAGAAACTTGCGTACACAAACATCTGTATTTAATTCTGCACCTGTTTAAACCATTTAGTGGGGTATTCCTCATAAATATTTGGCCTATTACTGTAGTAATGCCAGGCTTCAGATCACATTAAAACAGCTAGCTTTGATATGCAGACTCTAGAATCTGGTCTATAAGAAACCTAAATATAACATCTTGCCTTGTAATTGATTTAAACTGGACTCTGTGTCTCTACTTATTTTAGTGGTTAAAATAGATGATACTGAAGAATGCGTAAATTACATGCAAAACATACTTTAAAGCCTTATTACAGTCAATAGTCATGTATAATGTTATGTACACAAGGGAGGAAAGCATATTTTGTATACAGAGAGTTCTCTTTGACAGTCAGAGCTAATATTTGTTTTACTCAAGTTATGTTTTTTGTAAATTCATGGTTGCATTGTATTAACGGCCTGTTGACATCAAAAGCAGTAGACTATTTTTCTGTACATCAAAACACTACCAAACATATTATTGTGTTTTGCCTTTTGCTTTTAGTATCGTCCATCCCCATCGTCCTCTTAGAATGCAGTGCGTGTAACTCACCATAATTCACCATTTAGCTTGGGTTTGGTTCGAATAGTCTGTGGCTTCCATGGTAAAATGAAGACCAATCAAGCTATTAATCTCAGAATAAGTGGGGGATGAACCTAAAAGCCTATAATTTGCTTTTGACTAATATGAGTCATAGCTTCAAACGACAAAGGCGTCTTTGTTTAACTGCACCAGGCATGCATTGACAACAGGATGTACACAATTATCATCAAAGTTGAAATCTGTCACCAAAAAGTCATTTTTTTTACACAACCACCTAATATTATTGTTGGAATAGTAAAAGATGTTTGCAAATAGTCTTTACTTCTTTGAAATTATGCAATATTTAATAACTCATTAATCATATCATAATTAAAAACCTGCCAAACCTGACGGTGCACATGAATACATTATGGATAGAAAGAGCAGGCTACAGTCTTGGTTATTTAAATAGCAGAGAAACATTGACAAACTGTCAAACTGTTTAGATTTCATGGGCAAAATTTGGTATAATGCAGTATTTCTACCACAACTTCACAAAATGGACTAGTGGGTGAAACATGCTGGACATTCCATAGAAAGACGATGGTTTGGGTTTCTGCCCGCTGCTATTTTCTCCCTGTGAAAGAACTGCTGACATTTTGTATTTCCTTAAAAAACAAATTGTATGATTTTGTTTCAGGTTTGTATGACACAGATGGAATTCTGATGCTATAATTTGTGTCTTTTAGATGCATGGGGACATGGTACATCCTGGCCCACACCCTCTAAGGCAGCCACCCATGGGACCACCCCCACACCACCCGATGCAGGGAGCTCTCCCCCCACCCCTCACTCCATGCCCCCTTCCCCCTCGAGGATCCCTTTTGGCCCACGACAGAGCTCCCTGCCCAGCAGCGCCACTATGCCCAGGGACAGACTGTCTAATGCCAGCGCCACGGTGCGCTCTATCTCGCCCTGCCCCAGTGCTATCCTGGAGAGGCGGGACGTGAAGCCCGATGAGGACATGCCCAGTAAAAGTCACACTCTAACCCGGGGGGGAAGTGAGGGAATATATGCAGACCCTTACATGCTGGCTAATGCCCATGGACCACACCCCAGTCCTGGTCTGGATGGTCCTGAGCATGATATGAGGTCATTCCACCGTGCTTCTATTCGCTCCACTGGCTCTTATAGTGGCCCCAGCCCCACAGACACCATAGACCACCCTTCTCTATACAGACAGAAGTCCAGAAACAGCCAACTGCCTACTTTGGGCTCCAAGACGCCTCCCCCGTCCCCCCACCGCATGGCTGAAGTACGCATGATTGACATCCATGGACCTCCACATGGAATATCTCCACATGGAATACCACCACATGGAATGCCCCCTCACGGAGTACCCCCTCATGGAGTACCCCCTCATGCAGTACCACCCCATGGGGTACCACCTCATGGGGTTCCCATGGAGAGGGGCTCACCTGTGCGCCAGTCTTTTAGGAAGGATGATGGAGCAGGCCCCAAGGCCCGGGCCAACATGGGTTCCCCAGTGATCGCAGAGGTCCCAAGTCACCCTCAGGGTCCCATCCCTGCAGCTAATGACAAACAGACACGGTGAGTCTGACTCCTGTTTCTGTGGAAGGGGAAGAATAGTTTTAGTGATTGTGTTGCATGGGGCATGGACTAACTCTGCATCCTAGTGCCACCCTAACTCCATCACTAATGTAATCTAACTGATCTAAAACCATTGTCCATGAATAGGAGCAATAATAAGACCCACTGTCACAATATGCCCACTCTCTTGCACATGACTCTGTACACGTTTGCATTGTGCTGTGTACCCAACACTCAGCTTATCTGACCACTGTTTTCACAGGCTTTGTCCAAACAGCAGAGCTGAAGATGATTATTTTGATGATTGAGATGTTATGAGAGCAAAGCTCTAAACAAAACAACGGTTTCTGAAACTCTATACTATGTGTAGGCCAGATTGCCACCGGTATATTTCTGTTAATTTAGCAGAAATCACAGCTCCACTGCAGGGTTTATTCAAACGGGTTAATCCAGTAGATCTGCGGCTGCTATGCTCGCTTTGACTTCTGAGTGAAAGCACATAATAACATAGGAGGGTAAAAGGGCACTGGGACTGTTTCACAGGAGACGTTTACCTAGATAATATTTAGCAGGTAGAAAAGGTATTTCAAATCAAGTCAGACCATCTTGGGGGCATAAGCCCATTTAGAAGTGCCCTGGAATCATGAAAAAGTACAAAAAACAAACCTATTGTACAAAACACTTGAAGCACTTTTCTGCTCTCTAAAAATATCAGTGTTAATAAACACTGAGGTTTGATGGACAGATTAGTACCACAGTCCTTAGATGGCCCTTTACTCAAAGCCAACACAAATCTGCAATAACCAGCTGCAGGCCCAATAAGAGACACAGCTTCATTTGGTATTTTCACATTTTACATTCATCTTCACTTGTGACATGAAGTCACAGTGTGTTTGAATTGTTAGCATAGATTTTTAATCTTGAGTTATCAATCTAATTTTCCAAATATCCCAGTGACCATAGGCCTCTGTGTTGAGTAGGTGTTTTGATGTTTCAACAGAGAGCGAATGAAGGCTATGGAGCAACAGATTGCCAGCTTGACTGGTCTTGTTCAGCATGCACTTTTAAAGGGCCCAAATACTAGTGGCACCAAGGAGTCTATAAGGTAAGCAATTACAGCACAGGACAGAATGGGGCATCACCAGGATAAAAAGAGCAAAAACATGACGTAACAGAGCAAACATCAAAGTCTAGCCCTGATTATGGACATTTTAGTGTCATTTGGGTTGGGTTGACTTGCCTGTGTGATCATTTGAAGAGTTCCTGTGAATGTGTTGTCTGGCTGCGGTTCAACCTTTTGCATTTTGTACTGTAAATGTTTGCTCGACTATCTATTTGGAACAAATGTGTGTGTTTGGTGCTAGTTTATCACATTAACATCATCTTAACCTCTAGTTGTCTTTCCCATCAAACTTTGTTCACTACTAATACTAAACCACAAAAAAGTACTTTAAATTGTATTATCATTTTATTATTAATTGCTCTCCTTATGGCTACAGCGAGAGACCACCAAAGACATCCTCCCCTGCTCACAGCGTTCACAGCTCCAGTAAGTATAACTGTATGTGTGCTTTTTCTGGGTCAGTTTTTGAGTTTTAGTGCAGTGAAGTCATGTGCCGACAAGCCCCTACTTTAATGTCAGTCAACAGTGTGCAGTGAGCTCCAGTGTTGGGAGGGAAAATAGCGTTAGGCTTTCTGCTTAGCTGGTTCACGTTTCATCCCAATCCTCAAGTACATACTGTTTAATAGAAGTTAGGAGACAAAAATCCAGGAACTAGAGCTACTCAAAACATGGAACCATTACTGCTGTAAAGGCTGCCAACAAGATTCAGTGATTAAATCTGTTCTCCTGGGAAGTCTGTGGGCAGATTAGTTTGATAAAGATCCACAACTTTATGGGTGGTGTATGAGAAAGTGTATCGTAAAGACCATATCAAATGTTGTTTTAGGAGGTGTGCCATAGGTAAGCATAGCGTAAAGTAAATTGTTTGAATATTCAATTGTACAAAAAACAAACCCAAAACAAAACACACTTTAGAAGCAGTTGCCAGGGTTGATATCTGCAAAAGAATTGGCCCTGTCTCGCAATGGTAAACTTTGTGCCCACATCTACATTCAAACTTGGGTGGTTGCCTATTTTCATAATAGTCCATCCAAACCAATGATTTCCTCTTTTAGTAAGTTGTGTATAATTCTCAAAATGGTACAAAACCCATAAGTAATTTAATTTAATTAGTTTTGTCATCTACCGGTCTACTGGGCTTTAGAAAAATATTCAGAGAGTGAAACACTGTTTAGTAAATTACCTTTAATTTTCCCATAGGCCTAGTTAACTGGAGCTTTTGCACAACTCAGAATGTTTAGCTCAAAACTTTTCAAAACACCGGGATTGTTTAAATTGTTATTGCATTGTGTTAATGGACTGCTTTCCTCAAGGCCTCAAACAGAGGCTGTGTACACTGTAACCTGTACTTCTAGTTGAGGCAGCTGTCAGGTTGGACAGGAGTGAATGGTGGAACACCAAAGTCTCCTGTGTAGAAAATAGCACAGGGTGAGGGAGCTTTGGTGTGTACTTCAAACACCATGTCCTATTGTCACATATGGGCTGGGTCACTTAATAGACTTAGACTTACACATTATAGTTTGGAGTACTATGAAGAAAGCATCCAATTTTACAGCTGTTGGATATTTTGCACTTATATTGAAATCAAAAACAGGTATCCCTCTGTTATGAGAGATACTGTTATGTCTCTGTTAAGTCTGGTTAGAATTGAAATTGAATCGAATCAGGCAGCTGTTACTTGCCAGGAAAGAATGTGCTTGACAGACTTGTATGATCACAGCTTTAATTGCTCTGAGGATAAAGACATGTGGAGTTAGAACAAAATAGTAGTAATGCTGGTTACAAATAATCTAATATAAGCAAAGATGTATAACCAAACTGTGTAACTAACTGAAGTAAAAATACAGCAATATTAGTTAAAATACAGTAATGTTACATATACCTAAGTGCATTTTAAAGAGATATTAATGTGTATTCTCTTTTTTTATAACAGTAGTATCCACCAGGCAGTAATAGGCAGTGACAGTGCAGCAGTCATATTGGTTGTACTTTTGTCAAAATAAAAATGTATCTATATATTTTTTTATTATGCTTAAAAAATATATGTAATGTATTATATTTTAGATTTCTAGTCAGTTTAGTCTGGTAGTTCTAGTCAGTTTACCTGAAGTTGTAACTGAAAAAGGTGTTTATTTTTAATTAACCAAGCCTGAACTTGTCTGCACACAGGTGGCTCTCCAGTGTTGGCCCCTAAGACCCCCACAGCCCCAACGGACAAGGCCCCCATAAAAGTCAACCTCCTGCAGTTCAGGAAGAATGTCTCTGACCTTAGGATGCAGCTCCATCAAATGAGACAGCTCCAGGCAAGACCTCTTCATATTCTCTATTAGCTTATATCCTATATCAATATTTAGCCCATACGATAGCCGATGTTTCTCCTGCTGTTGTAGTCTATAGGTCTAACCAATATTTTTTGATACAGATATTAGGCTTTTAAAATTGAGAACTTGAGAGAAATATAATATGTTTTATGTTAAAGTAAAGTTCACAAATTGCCTTTTTGCATTTGTAACTCTAATGGCCAGCTGCATTTATAATTTGGGCTATGAAATTACTTTTTGCATGTTTGTGTAAACATCCAAACATTTTTTTTTTACAAATTAATCTGTTCAAGAAGACAAATTGTATGCTCTGAGGGTAAACTGGGACAGACACAGAGGCACAAAGGCTGAGGCAGTGCAGAAAAATATTGGTGCCAAACATTGGCAAAATTTTCGATATTGAACCGATACTGATGTTTGCAGAAACCCTCCAATATCACAGTACCAATATTTACTATATCTCCATCTGTTCTGTGCATGTGTTTAGCTCCAGAACCAGGAAGCGCTACGACTGCAGCTGAAGAAGGCCGAGCAGGAGATCAACATAAAACTAACAGAAGCCATGCAGCGCGCAGACGACCCGGTGCAGAAGCAAAGAACTATGGTGGAAGAAGATCGCCACAAGTATCTAACACTAGAGGAGCGTGTTCTCACACAGCTCAGGTGAAGACAAGTTTACTGCCTCCTTGTAGCATTGTATTTGTAACAGTAGCTGGGTTATTACTTCTTAAGCATGCACTTAATACAGGCAGTACACACCCCAAGGTTCCTGTCATAATGCTTCCTTATTTAGAACCTGTCCCAAAGGCATTACCTGACCTATTCATTCAAACTTTGACTATCCATCAAGCTCTCAGTGACAGCCAACAGGTTTTTACTGACAAGCTTCTACAACCACTTAAACAATAGACTTTAAATTATTGATTGCCCCATCTCCCCGGCCAACTTGACGCCGTAATTGAATCCCTTTATATGAATGTTTTACAAGCAAGGTCAGAAAGCGTCCCACCACAAGACGTTATGTTTCGATAAACACAATGGGAGCAGCTTAGAGGGGCTGGGAATGAGCAGGCCCCAAAGTCAGTGGATTAAGCTCGCAGTTAATATTGGGATCCAGCCAGTATGGAGTCAGCAAATACATCTGCTGCCATTTTAAATAGGTTTTGGTAATGGCTTTAGGAGCATGGAGGAGAATTGTGAAAGGTGTGAAAAAGTACAGCCAATAAGAACCTAAATATAACATGAGACAGATATTCTGGCAATACAAAAAGCAATTGGCTAGTCTTAAAATGTGTATGATCTTTTAATACCATAAAATGTACACATGCTATTTTAGTCTAATGTTAAATAAATGAAATACCATATAGTGAAGATATGTCTGTTGTGCTTATGGCTTTGAAAAAGATGGTGAATTTCCTTCTCAGCTGGAGTTTCCCATCATAATTCCCAATACCAACAGTGCTTGATAGAACGGGGCATTTAACACACTGTTTCCTTATTTCCCTCTCTGGGGGAGGCCCTATTAAAAACAGCCTTTGTGCCTATAGCCTCTAGTGCCATGACACAATCTGTTGGCACAATAGAACTGCATAGGAGCCAGGTTTGTGAGCACAGGGCAAACTTTAACATAATAATTGTTTTTTTGTTAGTGCCTATTTCATATAAATAAAACTCTGGCTTAATTTTTTACAGACTGGGTAATTGTAAGTCATAGAAAATGCTTAAATGCTGTTGTCCTATTTTTTTAAGATTTAAGAGTACTGTTCTCTTCTGTATGCTGGCCATTACAGTCACTGTTTACACTTATGGTTGTTCTCTGCCCCCTACTGTTTAAAGTTGATAACTACAAATGTTTTTAATGTTTCCAATGTGGTATTACAGTTATTACAGTGGTGGAAACTAAGATTATATAAAATTTGCCAAGTGGTTTATTGCCATTTTCGTGCAAACAGTACATTAACTTGAATGGGATGGAAAATATTAAGCAATAAAGTCTGCTCAAGTAACATTTTCACTTTATGTGCAGTGAGCTGGAGCAGTATGTGGGCTCATTGCAGAAGGACAGCAGTGGGACCCAGCGAACAGTGACCCTAAAAGATGTGGAGGAGGGGGCCGTCACTCTCAGGAAAGTGGGAGAGTCACTGGCTGGCCTCAAAGGTTAGTTCTTCAAGTAATGATTTTTCTAGTGTATGGAAACTTTTAAACTCTTACAAATTCTCATTATACTTCTAATATCCCTAGAGCTGTTGTTGATTAAAAGAAATATTTGTTAGCGTAACAGTAGTGGCCTGTGCATTCATTAATTGACTAGAAGGGGTTGCTGTATTGGACTGGCATACAGAGAATTAAATGTGAAAAAGCAAATTTAACTGTCCCGTCAGTTCCAGTAAGCTAATGCACCCATATATTTTCTTCTCTGCTACTGTGCATTAAAATTCTTAAAATTTAAAACATTTGTTGACTATTACAAAATTAAGCCAATTAAGACACCATCAACCAGTTCATAAACAGCTATTAAGAACTACAGCCCTAAACATCCCTTGTGATTTTCTCCTAGGGGAATTTCCAGCTCTTCAGACCAGGATGCGGGCTGTGCTGCGAGTGGAAGTGGAGGCGGTGAAGTTTTTGAAGGAAGAGCCTCATAAACTGGACAGCATGCTGAAGAGGGTCAAAACGCTCACAGACATACTCAGCGGACTCAGGAAGTAAGCAACATGAATAAATGAAAATCAGCAGGAGGAGAAGCAGAGAGGGAGCTATAGTTGGAAAACAAAAGCAATTCTTAGAGCTCCTCAGTAAGTCCGTTTTGTGGGAGATTGTGATTACACTGGCAGGCCGGCTTTGGTCCCATCAAAGAGGTCATTCTGTGTGGACAGAGGAGTGTGACGTCCGGCTTGATTTACTTCCATTGTCGTCACTGAAGCGATAAGTGAATTAATGTGGTGAAGACTGCAGCCGCTCATTTCCATTTTAATATGTCACAGATTCCAAAGGCACTTTTGACTTTTCTCTCAGTCTGATCTCAACCACTTTTGTGATTACAAACAGGCTGTGTTTTTGAACCATGAAAAATCATATTATAGAGCCAATTGATTATAATGATTTCAGTATAGTAGAGTACAACAACAATTTGCAGTAACAAAAAGATTGTTATTCATGTTAAATGTGTCATAGTAGAGAAGGTTGCAATAGTAGTGGTGATGCTCGTAGTTGCAGTAACAGTATCATTTTTAGTTATTTACCAAATGTGCTTATTATTGTTAAGTAGTTAATTGCAATAGCTTTAAATATAAACTTGTGTAGATTTTGTGAAAGCCTGTCTACATTGATATAGTTTTAGTTGAGTACTCTAGTTGTGGAAGCAGTATTTATAGTAGTATTTGGAGTGGTGGTACTATTTGTAGCAGTAACAGTACAACTTTTTTTTCAAAAACACTGCTATTATTGTTAGCAAATGGATTACGATTTCTCCGAATGTTGTTGTATATTTTGTGCAACCTTAACCTCTTTCTCTCATCTAGGGCCCTCACTTGCTGAATATATGTCAACTGTATTTTTTTTCTTCTCTTTACAGAGGTGCATCTGAAAACCCTCAGAAGACACCTGTTGTCACTAATAATCCAGCAGACAGTAGCCCCCTTCCAGCTGAGACTCCCACCAATTCCCCTCCAGTATCAGCCCCTCCTAGCTCCACTCCCCCCGCATCAGAGCCCCAAAACCCCACCATCAAATCTGAGGTCATGCCCTCCTCCCCTGTTGTCATCCAACAAGTCCAGAGCTCCATGGTCTTAATACAGCAGTCACAACAGTCGGCAGCACTGACCACCCAGCCGGGCCCACCTCTCAGACCTAGCCCCACAAACTCCCCCAGTCCCATCCAAAACAAGGCTCAAGGCCGGGAGTCACCCAAGGGCGTCTCCGTGGACCCACCCATCCAGAAGAAGACCAATGGGAATCCAGCAAGTAACGGCAATGGCACTTTCCACAAGGATATGGTCATAGAGGAGCTGCAGAATAACCCGGACAAGAGTAAAAATAGAGCGTTGTCAATAAAGGTATTACATGTTATTTGAAAATGATATAGTGTAATTACATACATACAGCTAAAACCTGTTTGTTTTATAGGCTGCAGAGAAGGAATGGGAGGAGAGGAGGCAGAACATGGGCCACTACGACGGAAAAGAGTTTGAGAAAATTCTTCAGGAGGCTCAGGCAAACATGATGAAAGGAATTCCTAATCTTGAAGTGGAAGAGAAGCAGGCAATTCATCCTGCTGCTCCAGTGGAACAACCAAACACTCCCAACACTGTAGAATCTTTAACAGGTAAAAAACATAGGGCCTTGTTGTTTAAGTTTGAATGAGGTTTGAATAAAACATTCATTATTCCAGTGAGGGGTATCGCCTCTCCACAGATCAGACATATAACTTGACCTGATGGTGCTTGTCTCCATTTAAATAGATATGTTTAATGCCCTACAGTGTGTGGAACAGCCCAGGCAAAGCAATAACATCTCCATGGAGACAGTGCACCTTTAAGCAAATCATTTCAACTATGTTTTTGGTGTTTTTCAGAAGAGTTGAAGCCTGAAAATTACATAGAAAAGCCTGGCAAAAAAGCACCTGAAAAACTTCCCAAGCCTTCCAAGCCCACATTGGAAAGATCATCCAGAGTGAACAGTGATCAGCCTCCTTTGATGAGACAATCATCTAAAGACAATAGCACCAAGACTGGATCTGAGAAGGTCAACAAGTCCCCTCCACCTCCCCCTCCCCGAAAAACCTTCTCCACCAGCCCCACCTCAGGCATGACCACTGCCCGCTCTGGAGAGGTGGTCTTCACACGCAAGGAGTCCACATCAACACAGGTAGGTCAATACAAAAATGTTATGACCCTATATATCTTGTTTTTATTTTGTCCCAAGTGGATAAAATAAATTTAATTCACAATATTTGTTTGAATTTTTGTAAATCAGGAGGTTGAGGAAGAGCCTCCACCTCCATCACCCCAACCAAGGTCACCCAAAGTTCCCCTGGAGACCAAACCGAAGCCAAGCACCCCTCCCCCTGCTACTCCTCCCATCACTCCCCCAGCCCCAAAAGAGGAGGAAGACGAGGGGGACAAGATCATGGCAGAGCTCCAGGTTAGATCACTGCACAATCACTACACAAACACAAGGTCATGAAGTCACAGGGGCGTCATTTTCTGTATTTGGGGTGTTCGGTGTCTGTCCCTTTTCTTTGTTGTGGCTGATTTGTAGTGGGCTGTCAAACTCCTTCTTCGGGGTTTGACATAAAATCCATTTCCTTTCTACTTTTCTACACTTTTTAGGTTTTCCAGAAGTGTTCAAATAAAGATGTAGAGGTGAAAAATGTGATTGAACCCACACCTCGTATTGAGCCTCAAATCAGGGAGCTAAGAACGGGGACGATATTGCCCCTAAAAGATAAAAAGGTAAACTATGCGCCGAAGCATCGCAACCCAGCTAACTGCCTGCCTCTCCCAACTGTCTGACACTTCTGATACTGCCAACGGCTTAATACTTCTGCAACTTCTGCACCCTTTGCTTTCGCTCCAGAGAACTATAACTGCTGCCTTCACAAGTTCCTTTTCCTCGCTGCCTCGTTTCTTCCCTTATTTTGATCCCTTTTGGATGCCTCAGAATCAAACTTTCTGGACTATGTCTGCAGAAAAGATAGAATGTTTACTTTCAACAGCTGTGTGCAAGTAGATTTCATGTCTTGTCATATATAATTTTTCTAGTAATAAATACTTTGTAAAATGCATTGCCCTCTGTCTTTCTTTGAAAACGTACAAAAGCAGTGTGAGCTTGATTAGGGACACAGGTTGTTTTTGCAGACTTGGTTCACTAGAGGTCAGTCTGGCTTCTTTTGCATGCCTCTGTCCTTCACTCAATCTGATAGTAGACCTTGCTCTCCGCCGCTGTTTTCCCTCACTTTGTCTTTTGCGCTTTAATTGAATGTATGCCACTGCTAATATTTCAGTAAACAAACAACAGCTGTTTTGTTTCTTTAGATTGTATTTATTGTGTGTGGTAAAATTGGCTTTCTTAATAGGATGACACTGAAGTAAATAAGTCAATTTAAATGCAGATTTATATCTATCGTTGTTAAAGCTTCAGTTACTTAAAAGTGCACTATGTAACTTTTTCAGTGGACCATCCTCTACCTGCTTTTCACAAAGATGTTTGCCAGTAATGTTCCCCAGAATGGCATTAAACACATCTCTCTCTTTAAAATATTAAATTACACTTGTTTTTATTGCTGCTGTAACTTGGTCTGGTAGCGTGACCTGCTTGTCTCCATGGAGATGGACAAGTGTAATGGCAGACTGTGGAACATTCTTGGCAAAGCAACAACATCTCTATGGAGACAAGGAGGTAGCATCCACCTGAAAAGTTACACCTTTTTTAAAGGCAAAGATGAGAACCAAATAAAACTTGTTAAAAAGATTGAGAACCAAAATATAAGTCAGTATAATTGCCATTCAATCCCTAATATACTGATGCACTATAGTTAAACAGTAATATAATTTCCTACCAGACAACAGAGCCAAAACGGGAGGAGAAAGATCCAGAAACGGATGAAAATGGCAATACTACACTTCGACAAAGCCAAGGGGTGCGTATAAAAATACACAAGCATTTTTATCCGTACATACATACATTTTTTTTTTTAAATCATTGTGTAATTTTTAGGTAATTTACTACGTCACCGGACAGATTCCCAAAGAACCTACCCCAACGGGACAAGAGGATGCCCCTGAACCCCCGCGAGAGCCCCTCCCGCCTCCATCTCAGGTCTCAAATGTCAATGTTAATTCCGGTTCTTCAGAACAACAGCAGCAGCAACAACAACAGCAGCATCAGCAGCAGCAGCAGCAGCAACAACAACAGCAGCAGCAGCAGCGACCAAAGTCACCCAAGTCACCTACATCACCTCCACCCATTTCTCCAAAACCGGTCGGACTGAACGGATTCAAACTTCCTCGGAAAAACATGAGGCGCTCCGAATCCATGAAGACAAGTACCGAAATGGAGAAGGGAAATTTGCGCAACAAAATAAACAGCGAAAAGAAAAAAGAAAAAATTGTTCAAGAACATAAACCTATCATAACCGAGTCTTTATCGGTTGTGAAGAGTGATAAGGAGATAACAGCAAGGGTGGTTAACGTGGACAGAGCGCCCGCTAAAGGTCATTTTGAGGAGATGAACGAAGACGCCAGTCTTAGCCCGGATTTGCCAGGAGAAGAAGCCCCTCCACCACCTGATAACATCGCATTTAAGATCACCAACTCCAAAGTTCAGCCCTTATCCACTGGGGAATACCAGGAATTGGTGAATGCGAAAAAGGGCAGCGTACAAACTGTAACCGTAGGCAACGCAGCAAGCAAACCCAACTCACCTGTGGATTCTGACGCTCCACAGGATAACGGCTTCAACAAGAAACCAGTTATAATAATATTCGATGAGCCTATGGACATCAGGTCAGCTTATAAAAGACTGTCCACTATCTTTGAGTGCGAGGAGGAGCTGGAGAGGATGCTAGCAGAGGAGACAATAGAGGAGGAGAGCGAAGAGTCAGATAGTGAAAAGAGAGGTGGGCAGCAGGCAAAAACTGGGGATGTGGTAGATGGCAAAAAGTCTGGTATGGACTTATCTTCATCATCATCATCCTCTATCAGTGAAATATCAGACAGTACTGGGAATCTAGAATCAGGTGGGGACGGTAAGGATGGCAAGAAAAAATTCAAGTTTAAATTTCCCAAGAAACAACTGGCAGCTTTGACTCAAGCGATCCGAACAGGGACAAAATCTGGGAAGAAGACGTTACAAGTGGTTGTTTACGAAGATGAGGAGGAATCCGATGGTACGGTTAAACAGCACAAAGAGGCGAAACGATTTGAGATTTCACGTTCCAAATCTTTAGCAGAAAGGTCATCGCCGGCCCTGCCACAGCTCAAAAAGCAGAACTCTGAATCTCAATGCCGCACGGATGAGATTCGTAAGAACACGTACAAGACGCTAGACAGTTTGGAGCAGACTATTAAACAACTGGAGACCACCATAAGTGAGATGGGGCCTCTTTCGCCGGATGATATTGCTCACGCTGAGGAGAGTAACGGCAAAGGCAAGAAATCAGATACAAGTTTGAAAAGATCTACGTCACTACCTACTTCTAAAGCCCCTGGCCCAAAGGTACCACTGAAAAGCGCACTGAAGAAACCTAAAGTCCTCCCCCGCCCTGTAGTCACCCCCACAACCGACACCGCCAGTACTACAACTTCTACTACCACTACTACCACTACTACTACATCATCCGACCCCAGTGATCCCAGTGCCCCCTGCTCCATACAACAGGTCTCAATCTAGCTCTTATCACCTCCGGGAAGCCTTTGGGTCCTTCTTTGTTTTGTCTTCAAATCTACCTTCACTTTAACCACTAAAACAATGACCGAATCATTCTCACTCCACTGGTGCTGGGATGTGTTGGGAATGCACCCTGTGGCTCTCACTCTCTCTCTCCCACTTTGTAAAATCATGGTGACATCATGATTGAGGGTGGCATTTTTAATACAAGACTCCTGGCTACCATCTGTGTATTTCCTCGAAGTCATTGCTTAAAACGATGTGGTTTTTGAGCAAGAGTCAGTTTCCTCATCAAAGATACACTCCCAATGATCTTTGTTGACCTTTTTGCATGTTTAAATGTACCATGTCTAAACAGGTGCATGCTCTGTGACTGTTTCACAATATTGAGGTGTTAAATGTACGTTTCCTTATCAGTCGCTTAAATCTTCACACTTCCTGTTTGGTGTGTTTTTTCTCCTTTCTTTTATTTCATATCTCTCTTTGTTTTTCCGTTTGGATCCCCTTGCAGAATGCCAGTGTCGCTTCCCCAACTAGTCGGATGCCCGTCCCTTTGTCCGCGAAGTCCAGGCAGTCGTCCGCAGAAAAAGCAGGAAAACAGCAAAAACTGCAGGACGCACAAAGGCAGTTCCGACAGGTAGTTTTACTCTAGGGCCTGCAAAATATAGTGTGTAAGGCATCAGATCTTGAGGCATGTATCATAATGGAGCAAAGACTACCAAAGCTTGAGCTATGATGTGTTTTGAAAAAAAATAAAAAAAATCTTACAATCGCCAAGGCTGGCAACTGTGGATCTGTTAACGTTTCTCTCAAGAAGGCATGTTTTTGACTCTTGACTGTTATTACCCCCCCAATAACATCACTGTACTGTATGCTTCTGCATGTCCACACTGCTCATGGTTTTGGCTGTGTTGGTGACTTCTTAAAAGAAAAAAAAAAACTGGATTACTATGGCAACAGGAAAAGGACTCTTAACCGTGCTGTCATCCGAGTTGTCATCCCATCCTCCAGTTTCCATCACAGCTGAGTTCCAAAACAGTGTTGCCTCATTCCCACTCCCAAGATGCTTCTGGCAAAAAAAAAAAAAAAACAACTAAATGACTTTTATTCCACTTTCTCACAATGCACTTTGCAACACTGCACAGCTTTTTAACTCATGGTGATACACACTTCACTTCATGAGACTCCTCCCACTCCTTGCATCGTCACATTGGAATAACAGCTCTCTCTATCGCTTTCACCCTTCTAACCCCATAACCACTGCCCTGAACTCCACTGCCTTCCTATGCAACGCCACAATTTTAACCCACATCTGTCAACTACTTTTTTCAAGTTTAACAGCTTTTAGTTATGTCCAAGTTATGTTAATGTTTAGTCTGTATGTCAATAACTGGTAGTTCGTTTTTGTTTAACATCATCGTCTTGCATTTTGTACCATTTGATTTGACAACCAGTATCTGTTTTGGCATCTGTTTGCAGGCTAACGGAAGTGCTAAAAGAGTGGGAGGGGATCATAAAACCACTTCCCAGACTGTACCTGTGTCTAAAATCCCTGCTTTTTATCCTAGCTCTACTAAAGGCAGCTCCCAGTGTGCGCCGGACCATGCCACTAACAACACTAACTCCTTTTCCTCCTCATCTTCATCCTCTGTTACCATAACCAAGTCCTCCATGTTGCCTGCCCGCTCCAGCTCGCTCCCCCACCCCACCTCACACATCCCCTCCCTGTCTAACGGATCCCTCAAACTCTCCTCCTCCTCGCAGCACACAGGTAAATCTCTCTCGTTCTCCACGCAGAATGGGCGAGTGCACCCCTCTTCCTCCTCCTCCTCCTCTTCCTCACCCGTCTCCACCCCCTCCCCTCTGTCGCCCACCCCTCTGGGCCCGGGCGGGAAGAGCATCCGCACCATACACACACCGAGCTTCAACAGCTACAGGGCGCACAACGGCAGCAGCAGCGGAAAGTCCTGCATCCCAACCGCCGCTAAGGACACTGCCTAGCCCCGCCCACCATGGTAGTCACATCACATCTTTCATACACGTTTTTGTGTTGTGTTTTTTTTTTATGCACTTCCTGTATTTTGACACTGGCCCTGTCACTTAATCTGTGGTTTCAACTTCCGCTTGCAAGATATTTTAGTCATAGAATCTTGTTGCCACTATAAAAGTTGTCTGGTTTTAAAAAAATCTATTTTTCTTGATGTAGCAAAATGAATAGGGACTTGATGTACAATCATGTGTAAAATGAGTTTTATTTTTCAAAACAGAGGTTAGATAACCATAGTATATTTAATCTTATATATTTCCTATTTTGCTTTAAAACAACCCTTGTAAATGCCTTTTTATGAATGTATACATGCATAAAGTATACAGTCATTTTAATCTGTTTTTGTGTAGTATTTTGTATCATTGTTGACCCATTGGAACTGCCAACTTATAATCATATTGTACTGGTTTAATGAGTAATACAAGTCTAATACAAGTTTTCATTTGTGTGCCTATTGCCAAAACTTGTACAATTACTCTCCAGTCCTGAGATTTAGGGGAATTTACAAGCACTCTAGTGTGTACTGGAGCATACACACTGCAGGTCTAAGTGAACGTGTTGTTGTCTCTGTGTAAACTGTACTAAACAAAGTGAAACATATATCAGCTCTGCCATTTGTACATAGATGCTTGTACTAAAAGATGAGTAGTTTTGTTAACATACCAAAGTTTATTTGTATGCATGCCTTTCAAATACTTTTAGGAGAGTGGTGTAAAAGAATAATGATGTTTGCACAAATAGATTTTTGTAAATATTTGGTCTTTTTTGTAAAGCTTTAAGAATCATACCTTAAAAGAAACATGGTTAAGACAAAACCGGAGTAGCAAAAATAAAGACATGTGCATGCTTGTAATGCTGTGGGCTTCTGTGTTTTCATTTTGAGAAATAAATAAGATAAGATAAATTGATCTGCAGTGACAGTGCCAAAAAATGTTTTAAGATAGTCTGACAACTCAAGAAAAAATACAAATATATTTAAACTGCGCATTTATAGGAGCCTCAGCTCAGTATGAGCGTCCATTGTCCTGTTTATTATTATTATGTGTGTGAAAGACTTGTTTAAGCACACAAATCATCTCATCTGTTGTAGTTCCAACTAAGTCAGTTCCTCTGGTCAGATTGTGTTAAAATAAAACAAACAGAGCTTCAGATAGAGAAGTACCTTCAGTTAGCATCACACTCCCAGGGAATGTTGATGACATCAGCAGCAATGTATCTAAAAAAATATATATTGTGGAGGCAGCAACAGTGTTTCCTGTCCCTATCTTGAGGTGTGAGTTTCATCATCATCTACAGAATTCCTAATAACTATGTTGCATAACTAAACATGTATCAGCACACCACCTATTCATGGCACTTCTGTAGATTCTCTTTCACTTCACCTTTTTAAATTCTCACTCATAGTGAAGAGCACAGCACATAGGGAAGGATCACTGAGACCACAGGTGAGAAATATTTTCAACATGATTTCTGTACTATATAAAAAGATATAACAGAAGGAAATGTGTTTTATTTATTGTTATTTCTACTTGAGAATGTATTTGGGTTTGTTTTTCATCACTTTCTATAGTAAATTGTGTAAAATAACAGCTTATTCTATGTACAGTATATTGGCTATAGGATTTAGCTAGCATTATTACAAATTACAATGACTAAAATCAGAGGTGGATGAAGCACCTATTTTTGCTACTTAAGTAAAAGTACAGATTCCGGAGCAAAACAAAAGTAAAAGTATCACATGAAAAAATCTACATAAATAAAAGTATTAAAGTACCTGTTTAAAAATGTACTTAAAGAGTAAAAAGTAAAAGTAAAAAAAAAATCCAATAAAGCTTCAATTGTAGTGATTTTTATACAGATTTGTGCTGAATTTTGTTCATCAAAAACAACTGAATCAATTTTATTTTTTATAGATGTTTTTTTTTTATATATATTTATGGACATGTTTAAAAACACTGTATACACTGTCTTAAGTAAAGTACAGATATGTATATTTTTTACTTAAGCACAGTACTTTACTACTTTTATTTTGCATAAAGCATAAAGACATGGTTATTTTACACCTAAAGAATAGAATATATAGACTATCATAGGTGATGTGTTTTGGTGAGGACATTACTGTCAAGTGTCTGTGTCTTCCACACACCAGCCATGAACATCTCAGAGGAGGAAGCTGCGGAGGACTGGCATTTCAGAGGCTCTTATGAGGAAAACATTGCATTTGCTGCTTTCTACATCCTGGTCTTTGTGTTTGCTGTTCCTGGAAATGCACTGGCGCTGTGGTCCTTCTACAATCAGAAGAGCAGCTCTCCATCCAAAGTGTTCCTATGTCATCTGGCAATAGCAGACATCTCCTACATCATCCTCCTGCCCATGCGTTCAGTGTATCATATCAATCAAAATCAGTGGCCTTTGGGTTATATGCTGTGTCGAATGGCTGGGCCCCTGTTTTTCCTCAATATGTACTGCAGCCTCTACCTGATGAGCCTGATCAGTCTGGATAGATTACTGTCTGTGGTCCTGCCAATCAAATCACGAGTTATAAGAAAAGCCAAGTATGCAAAGATCACTGTTGGGATACTGTGGGTCCTAGTGACTACATCTATGTTTCCAATGGTTTTCTCACAACAGAATATCTCTCACAACAAAACTCACAGTTGCAGAAAACTTTATTTAGAAAAAAAGTCAGCCACTGCCCTAATTTCAACTGTTGTGGCATTTGCTATTCCTCTAACTTGTATAGTGTTCTCTTACATATTAATACTACTGAGAGTAAGAAGCCTCAAACAACGGGGGAACAGTAGGCCTGTAAAATCCAAAGTTAGAAAAATGGTCATTCTTATTATGATGAACTTTCTCATTGCATTTATGCCCTACCATGTGAGTCGTGTTGTCTACATTCTAAGCCGCACTCATGGACATGTGAGCAGTGTCACACAGCAGACACTGGGCAGAGTCAACTGGCTCACCTCTGCACTCACCTGTGTGAGCGGGCTGCTGGATCCAGTCATGTACTTCTTCCTCAATACTGCGTTCAGAAGCAAAGTGCACCAGATTTTCTCAAGAAACGGTGCATAAAAATAGCACACTTTATTGCATTGCAGCATAAACAAAACATTGCTGTAATTTGATGTTTTTTGTACAGAAATTGATTGCTATATTTGTACAACACTATAAGTATTGTGAAATAATTAGGATTACATTGTCAAAGGATACTGTGTTACCTCAGTTAGTTGCAGTTTCTCTGTATTAAAGGGTCCTATAGGCTATTGCGCAAATGGATTCTTGTAAGATTTAAGCCATGTTATAATGTTATTATTTAATTTTAAAAATTTACCAGTTGTGTTTTGTTTCATTCACATGTTTGACTAAGCTTGCAGATGTAGTTTGTCTATATCTCCAAAGCTCAAAATGCTCTGCTCTGCTTTATGATGTAGTAGTTTCCAAGTTAACAGTTTCAATTTTCACCTTTTGTTTAGTATGGATTGTCAATTCTAGGGCTCATCCAAATGATTCTAGTGAAGGTGTATGTAATTTAAAAACATAGTGGAGCTCTTCCTGTATTACCACATGACATCATAAGAGGAACAGTGTTTTCTGTTTGAGAGAGGAACACAGCCTAAATATAGCAGGATTTGTGTGTTAAAAGTGTGAATGAAACAAAACACAACTGAGGAAATAGTGTAATATAGGCTCCATATGTACACCATGTAACGTTTCTGATGGAGGATCCAAAACCTTCTTTTCTCCATGGAGATGTTATTCAATTCAGTCTTTTTTAAGAACACACTGGTTCATAGTAAGTAAGTATATAAAAACAATAACAATAATTAATAAAAAGTTGAATATACAGTGCATGTTATAAGGTATACAGACAAGACCGCCAGTGTCTCCACAGCTTAGAGGTGAATCTGACAGAGCTCTTCACTCAAGACACAGTAGAGCTTGAATAATTTGATTCAGATTCATGGCTTTACACATAAATTAATTAATACAACATCTAATCGTGACAACACAGATTTCACATCACAGTTTACAAACATTTCACTGTCACTACAAAACCTCTGCAATTTTAGTAATATTCCCAAAGAGTCATTATATGCCACTGTCATTGTTTATATTTTGCCTGAAATGTTCATAATGCGTAGAATTAGAACCAATTTTTGGAGAGACAAGCAAGTGACTACATCACTTTTTTGGTTATATTAAAAAAAAAAAAGAAAAAACTGTAATTGAATAAACAAAAGACAGGAGTTTAAAGCCATACTAAAGAGCATTCCAGGCAAAGCTCTAACATATGAGCTCAGCAGGTGACAGGCCTTTATATAATGCATTTCATTTTTCTATTGAAATAACAGAAATGAATTAGTTATATGCTTGCTTTGCTTTGTGCTGGCTATATTAAAATAGATAGAACAATAATGTACAAAATGTAAACTCTATTACAACGAACTGAAGTTGCAGATTTTTTTTTATTTTTATTTTTTATTTTTTTGGCTTTTATGGTCTACATGAGCTCCCGTACTTTGACTTGTTACCAGGGCAGCCAGGAAGAAGCTGTGAAGAAAACGGACTGAAGGAGACGCCTTTTAGTTTAGATTACATTTTTAAGCACTTTTATACAGTGTTTTGTTTTAACTTTTACATCGCCCAACTACGGTATTATTGTGTTACTTATTTGTAGTACATGTCCGACCTGAATTGATTGGCGTTCCCTTCGTTTAATCGCGTAAAGTTAGCGTTAAAGTTAACACTAGCTAAGAAAACACTGTTCTATTGGATTGGATTGAATTGATTTAGCTAAATGTGAGGTTAGAATCACTTTAGGATCACTTTAACTAAAACTATGCATACTTTAGTTTAGCTTTACTTCAGCTTTAATCTTGTTGCCCTCGAGGATGCCCACCTGAAAGTGCCTGTCCCGTTAGCTGTTGTGAAAGGGGCTGGGCAGTCATCATGGACACTCAAACAGGAAAAAGTATCTGAAAGAGACACGATGGGCACGGCCTCCTCCCTGGTGAGCCCCGGCGAGGTGATCGAGGACGGGTACGGCGGGGAAGGGGGAGAAGCCTGCGAGATCCCGGTGGAAGTGAAGCCCAAAGCCCGTCTCCTCCGCAGCTCGTTCCGCCGGGGGCCCAGGGTGATCGGGGCTAGTTTTAAGTCCACAGGCTCCGTGGACCTGGAGTACGCCGCGGAATACGAGAGACTGCGCAAAGAGTATGAAATATTTCGTGTGAGCAAAAATAATGAGATCGCGTCCATGCAAAAGAAGGAGGCCAAGCTGGATGAGGAGAACAAAAGGCTGAGAGCTGAACTTCAGGTCAATTATTTGTTATACTTGATTGCAGAATTGTAATAACATGTCTATTAAAGGTGCTATTTGTAACTTTTCTGGTGGAGGGCAGTCACTTTTTGTTTCTGTGCAGATGTTATTTACTTTCCCTATGATATTTCACAGCACACAGTTACAGGTCAAGTTACAGGTCAGATCTGTGGAGCGCTAAGAAATTGGATGCATAGTTTTTAATCCTCTTATTCAATTTAATGTGTTTTCTCGAAAAAAAAAAAAAAAAAAAAACACATACAATTGAATAAGTGCACTATATGTATTTGGAACATTTTGGCAAAGCATTAAAATCTCCATGGAGACTACTATCATGTGGCGTCCCCCTCACCAGAAAGTTACAAAGTGCACCTAGTGTTTTTATTTTATTATGTTGTGAAATCTGTATATGAAGTAGCGTACTACCAGGTATCTATCAATGCATCTGGCCATTTTGTTAGTTTATTGCATAGTTTCTGTGTTTGTTTATAGGCACTGCAGAAGACTTACCAGAAGATCCTCAGAGAAAAGGAAAGTGCGCTTGAGGCAAAGTACCAAGCTATGGAAAGAGCATCTACTTTTGAGCATGACAGAGACAAGGTTAAAAGGCAGTTTAAGGTACTATCGATTTATGAAACTGACTTATGTTATTGATTTTTTAATTCAGATACTGTAATTGGGCATTTTTTTACATTATGGTCTTCAGATTTTTCGTGAAACAAAAGAAAAGGAGATTCAGGACTTGCTGCGTGCCAAGAGAGACTTGGAGGCTAAACTTCAACAGCTGCAAGCACAGGGCATCCAGGTCTATGATCCAAATGACTCGGACTCAGATGATAACCAGACTACTGTCACGGGTATACAACAGACTATTTTCACTCACTTGTTTCTAATGCGCCTTTATTTTTAGTTATATTTTTTATCTGGTATGCTTGCAGCTGCAGGGACCCAGTGTGAGTACTGGACTGGTGGCGTACTGGGAAGTGAGCCCTCTATGGGTAGCATGATGCATCTGCAACAAACTTTCAGAGGACCAGAGTTTGCTCACAGTCTTATAGATGTTGAAGGGCCCTTTGCTAATGTGAGCAGAGGTAAGTTGTGAAAAGGCTGTATTAAGACCTCTGTATACATGATGTAAGCATTATAATTATCTTTCATTTCCACAGAGTTATAATTATATTTTTTATCTGTAGATGATTGGGATGCTGCAGTGGCCAGTCTCCTTCAGGTTTCCCCTCATGTTCCCCAGGCATTGTGGAGCAACACTGTGCGCTGCTACTTCATTTTTACACAGGAAACCAAAGAAGAGCTGGATATATTTATAAAGGTTTGCACTGGTCTCAGTTTAAATTGTTGGAACACTTATTCTATGTTCATTTTCAAGTTTTTTTTTAATGTTTTGTGCACAGAAACACTCTCCTAAACTGCGTAGGATGTGTGAGGGTCTTGGACATTTCTACCTGAACATTTTCTTCCCAGAGAACACTGCTGGCTCTTACACTGCCGAGCGCAAACAGGAGATAGAAAGAAGCTCAATTTGTGTGCTCCTTCTAAAATCTAATGTAACCAGGTATACATCTGTTACTTAGATGGTGCATTACTTAGATTACATTGTAACTAAGAAGACAAAATTAACATTCATAATTGATTAAGGAGTCCCTAAGATACTCATCTTAGTCCCATCCTATATCTTTATTACACTGTCCACTGTGTACCATTTTCTCAATGCAGTGCGGTGGTAGACGACTGTGAAGAAGCCTTTGTTAAGAATCCTGAGGGACATCCATTGGTCCTTTACTTGAGGGCTGACCAAGACCAAAAACTGACCACATCTTCCAGGCAACTGCTAGAAAGGATTAATACAGCAGACAAGACAGGAAAAATCAAGGCTGGTCTTTCATTTAAATTTTGACACAAATATTTATCTCATGAGTTGAGACATGTTAGTTTTTTTGGTCTTAACAGGTTGTGGATCATTGCAGTTCCTCGGAAGATGGAGCAAAACTGATTTACGATCAGCTCGAAAGAGTCATCAAACAGGTACAAGCCAGTCTCCAAAAATATGTTATTGTTATTTCAGGGTCACGTGTCCAGTTTAATCTCATTCTGGGTATTTCTAAGGAGCTGTTGGGTCTTGAGGGAGCGGATGATGACTCAAAGGATTACGGGCAAGAAGATGGAAGAGAGGAAGATTCTGGCGATGTGCTTTGGGACTTGCATGATGAACAAGAGCAGATAGAGTCATATCAGCAGGCCTGTTGCAGCAGCTCCTCTCAGCTAGGCTTTCAGAAGGTATTGTTAAAATCTAATCCTACCTAAAACTGTGTATGTAATGTAATGTAACAGTTCTGTTGGTGCACCTTAAAGTTGGGGTAATTTTTTCATGGACTTAATAAACTTTAATTGGTCTGTTTGTAATGACTTAGTACATTGATCGGTTAAATGACATGATAGCTGCACCTCCACCCACTCCTCCTCTGCTTATATCTGGTGGCCCAGGATCAGGGAAATCTCTTCTACTTTCAAAATGGTGAGATTAATTTATGTTTTATTATGCATTGTGCATTTATTGATGGAGTCAAGTCAAAAATGTAATTAAATGTAAATGTTTTTTTTTTTTTAGGATTGAACTACAGCAAAAGCAATCTCCGAACACATTGTTCCTGTACCATTTTGTTGGCCGTCCACTTTCTACAAGCTCAGAGCCTGTTCTAATAATCAAACGCCTCACTGTTAAAGTAAAGACCTGTTGCTTGGAAATAAAAAATAATAATATTATAAAAAAAAAAGTTCTAAGTAACTAAGTTCTTTGTTAAAATGCAGTTGCTCCAGCACTTTTGGTCCATTTCTGGGTTATCAATGGAACCTAGTAAGATTTTAGAAGAATTTCCTCGCTGGCTTGAAAGGCTGTCTGCACGCCACCAAGGAAATATTATCATCATTATTGATTCGATAGATCAAATACAGGTAAAACATGTCTTAAATTGTACACATTGTGTGCATTAAACGTATCTTACATTCTTCTTTGTCATTGTTTAGCACGCAGAACGCCACATGAAGTGGCTGATTGACCCTTTGCCTGTTAATGTGCGAGTGGTGGTGTCTGTCAATGTAGAGACGTGTCCGCAGGCCTGGAGGTAGCTTTACTTGTTACTTTGTTTGTAAAGTTGTTATTTACAGATTATTATAGTTATGAAAACATGTATATATTACTGTAATGTTATGTGAATTATATCCAGGTTGTGGCCCACCCTTCACTTAGACCCTTTGAGTCCCAAAGAGGTAAAAAGTGTTGTTAACGCAGAGTGCCAAAATGTAGAACTGAAACTTACCAAAGAACAAGTTGAGTATTGCCCCATATGCTCATAATTACAGTTACACTGACTTAAACATTTTTTGTGGGTCTAAGCTGTCTTCAATATGTTCATAGGAGAAGAAACTTGAAAGGCATTGTCGTTCTGGATCCACTTGTAATGCATTATATGTCACCTTGTTGGCCAGAGTCATCACAAGGTAAGCCAAATATAAAGTCAGAAATTTATGCTTTGACACTGTCTCAGCTGTTGATGACATACATTTTTCATCTAACCATAGTTTGCCTTGACTCTGTTTTCATCTGTAGTTTGTGCTGGCCTTTAGAAAAGAGTCTAGACCAGTGCCTACAATGTCAGGACACCATGACACTATATCGGGTAGCACTAAAGATGACACTGAACTCACTCCAAACCGACAGAGAGCGATATATTTTGAAAGAAGTAAGTTGGTTAAAAAATACAATATGTAAAAAATAGCATTTAACTGTGGGTTATTTTTTTATCTTCTAGATTCTATGCCTTGCGTGTGCCAGCCACAATGGGGTCAGTGAATCGGAGGTGCTAGACTTTTTCCCTGAGATGGAGCTTCCTATGCTTTCCTCTTTACTTTTCCAACTCAAAAACCTGTGCATTCTAACACTCCGGTGTGGACTTATTAGGTTCCAACATCTGCAGGTAATTCACTTTAAGTAAATAAAAAAGTGAAAACCCTCCTCAAATATTGATTGTGTTATATTGTTCTTTAGGCATGGGAAGCTGTGAGATCAGAATTCCTAAGTAGAGGCAGCAATACTTCTATTTACAGAGAGAAATTGATTCATTACTTTAACCAGCAACTAAGGTGCCATAAAAATGTCAATGTTGCCCCCATTGGTTATTAAACTGTCTAACACAGGTTTATTTTGTTCTCACGTAGCCAGGACCATGTCACATGGCGCGTTGCTGATGAGCTGCCATGGTTATTTCAGCAACAAGAAGACAGGACCAAATTGCAGCTCAGCCTTCTGAACCTCTTTGTTTCACAAAATCTTTATAAAAGGTTGTTTAAAAGTGCACTGTTTGTATAACCCAATTTAGGAAAACAAATTACAGTAAATCTGTTTATCTCTTGGCTTTTCAGGGGACATTTTTCTGAATTGTTAGCGTATTGGCAATATGTTGGAAAAGATAAAAGTTCCATGGCAACGGAATATTTTGACTCCTTGAAACACTATGAGAAAAGCTGTGAAAGTGAAGACAGCATGACCAAGTTGGCTAACCTCTATGAGACATTGGGGCGTTTCCTTAAAGACTTAGGCCTCCCAAGCCAGGTAAGCTTTACAAACAGCACATAATGATACAACCTTTACACTGTCAACACAGCTCTATATTCTATGTTTGTGTCTAGGCTGTCGCTCCTCTCCAACGTTCCCTGGAAATCCGCGAGACTGCTCTGGACCCGGATCATCCCAGTGTGGCCCGCTCTCTGCATCAGCTGGCTGGAGTTTATGTACAGTGGAAGAAGTATGGAAACGCTGAGCAGCTGTACAAGCAGGCTCTGGAGATCAACGAGAATGCCTATGGAGCAGAACACGCCAGTGTCGCACGAGAGCTCGAGTCTCTGGCTATGCTGTACCAGAAACAAAACAAGTTGGTTGCTATGTAATGGATAATGCTTTATACATCATTCACGCCTATATACCAAATTATAGTATGTCTATTCTAAGTATGATAGTGTGAATGGCAGTTTGAATTGGGGCTGGTTGTCAGATATACATAATTTTCTACATACTGTAAAGTTTTCATGCTTTTTTCTGAACCAAATTATGGGTATTTTATGAGACAAAAATATTGCATAGATAATATTAACACATTTAAAAATTGTCATATATTAAAACCTCAATCTGTGGAAAATAGTGTATTACAATAGAGCAAAAATGATTGAAATCCAATTTTCTTTTTTTACTCCCAGATATGAACAAGCAGAGAAACTCCGGAAGCGATCAGTGAAGATACGTCAAAAGACCGCTCGCCAAAAAGGGCATATGGTCAGGACTTAACATCTATACCTATTGGTGGCCTCACTCAAATATTAATTGTGTGTATATTTACCTTACAGTATGGCTTCACATTATTGAGACGCAGAGCTCTACAGCTGGAAGAACTCACGCTGGGAAAAGATTCAGCAGACTGCGCCAAGACACTTAATGAGCTTGGTGTCTTATACTACCTCCAAAACAACCTAGAGTAAGTCTGTACCATCATTTATTTTTAATCTAAATATGCCAGCCTTATCACTCTTTGTTTTCACTAGTGCTGCCAAGATTTTTCTGACCCGTTCACTGGAGATGCGTCAGCGCGTTTTGGGGCCTGATCATCCAGACTGCGCTCAATCTCTCAATAATTTAGCCGCCTTGCACACAGAGAGGAGAGAGTATGAAACAGCTGAAGACATGTATGAGAGAGCTCTTGACATCCGCAAAAAGGCCCTGTCCCCTGACCATCCGTCACTGGCTTACACACTCAAACACCTGGCCATGCTGTATAAACGAAGGGTAAGGAGTATCTCTGTTTGTATAAATATTAGAAGATTTTGATATTGAGGTGCAGGTGTTTTTAAGGACAGAATAAACAGATGTCTAACTCCTGATTCTGAACCTTACCTTGAATTGGCATTGTAAACATTGATCAAGAGTTGCTTGAAAATTGTTAATAACTTATTGTGCTGCAACTATTACGTCTATCAGTACATTCATATTATTACTTTTCATTTTATTACTTTAAATAAAGGATGTAAGTGTTTTTGTTCTGTGTCCTTTTGGTTTAGGGTAAACTGGAGAAAGCTGTCCCATTGTATGAACTCTCTCTGGAAATCAGAGAAAAAAGTTTTGGACCCAAGCATCCCAGTGTAGCCACAGCATTAGTCAACTTGGCTGTAATCTACTGCCAACTAGTAGGTTCAAAATCCTCACTATTCATCTTTTCAGTATTCTCTGTACACCTTTTAAATGTATAATTTATATTTCCAGAAGAAGCACAGTGATGCCTTGCCCTTGTATGAGCGAGCCCTGAAAGTGTATGAAGACAGTTTGGGCCGTTCACATCCTCGTGTGGGAGAAACTCTAAAAAACCTAGCAGTGTTAAGGTGCAGTGAAATGGGACTTCACGCTAAAATGCCATGAAGAATCTTTAAATCATAAACTTAAATTTTGTGACATTCTTTTGTGAACAGTTATGAAGAGGGTGACTACGAGAAGGCAGCTGAACTCTACAAACGTGCCATGGAGATAAAAGAAGCGGAGCCATCGCTGGTGTGTGGAAACGCCCCGTCTCGCCATTCCTCTAGTGGAGACACATTCAGCCTCAAAGGACCTGTGCCCCTCCCTCAAGTGTCCAGATGACCAATGAACAATGGTGACAATTCAACAGCGTCAAAAAAATCTGTCCTGTTCTGCATCATGTACAAATGTTAAGGTCAGTTGTAAAGTTTCAAATGAATTTATGTTTGCTGCTTTCAATGCTGTGAAGTCTACTACAGTATTTCATTATATTGTACGAGATTTTCAATTCCTACCTCTTAAGGTGATATGACATTGCATACAAAAACAACTAAACATTTAGCATATTATTTTTATTAATTCTTTATTTGCAGTTACATATCAGTTAACAAAGTTAAAACACGTTTAAATAGATGCGATATTGTAATACACCATGTATTAATATATTTAGTATTTCACCAATAAATGTGTGTTGTAATTACAATGCCATACTGTAAACAATACCAAAAATGCTGCCAACCAAAGATAATGTGCATTAAAATTAGGTGTGTTTTGTAATTCACACTTGAACAAGCGTTACTTTGTTAAAACATGTAGCATTATTTTCTCCACACATAACAGAAAACTGCACATTAAACTAGTACATGCCAAAACACTGACTTGTTTTGAATTAAGTGCCAAAGATTCCCGTCTTTATTGACATAAGTTAAAAGTTCCAGTTCATGTTTTCTGTTATTATCAGCAGCTTGTTATTGTGTAACCTGTATACCTTGTTTATTTCTTTGAATTACATGGACCATTGTAAAAGGTGGGCCGTCATAACAGTGTTTTTTTGCAATAATTTATCTAACAAAGCATAATCGTGGTAAGAAATTACACTTCTGTCTATAGATTCTTCATTTTTGCCATGAGTTCTTCTAGACTCTGATCGGCCACATCTATGGTTTCCCCTTCAACAGGTGCCTATAGACAAAGTAAATATTAAATGTTGCTGTCTCAAAGAGTATATTTACTTGATAAGTGACAAAAAGAGCACTGACCTCAGATGGAAGTGTGTACGCTACAGTGATGCCTTCAGGGAGGTCTGGCATTGGACCTGAAGCCGCCTGCAGATCAGCCTCTGTTATTTCTGACACCAGCTCGATGCCTACACAGCAAACAAAAACATCAGAAATGTCTCCAAAGCAAAGCATGTGAACGCCACTGCTGATAAGAATTGTTTTGACTCACCCCATTCATTGTCTTCATGAACAATCTCCTCCTCTTTCTCAATAACCTCAACTTTGGGCCGCTCTGCTTCTTTTTTCTAAGGGTACATATTATATGAAAAACAGTTTTAATAATATGGGTCTTTCTTGCTCCCCATAATCATTACAACAATAACAACAGTAGTAATAGTAATAGTAATAATAATAAATACCTTATATTCCTCTTGTTGTTTCCTGCAGTAATTGTCATTGCACTGTGGATTTGCTTTCATTGCCATGGATGGGAAGAAGTCCTGCATAGCATTGTAGCCCAGATAATAACTAACGGTGCCGAACTTCAACAGATACCTGAATATAAGTAGAGAATGTTAAATCATTTGGTTATTTTTTTTGTGTATAAATTAACGCATGTCTTACTTGAGAACATTTTGCACAAGGAGACCTGCAACTACACCCATTGTGGTTGGTAAACTAGCAGCACAAACTCCTTCCCTTTTTAAAGTCTTCTCATCAATATTAGCTGCCACCACCAGAGGAGGTGCACACTAGAGATCAAAATAATCAGAACTGAATAAAACTGTTTTTAAATTCATAATGTAAATATTCTATTTGATTCTGACATACAGCAAAGCAGGCCGTCTCTCCTGGTACAATAAGTTGGATGTGTCCTGACACAGCATTCTCACTGACCCCAGACTCCATCCAGGTCTGCCCTAGCTCATTACAAGCCTGCAAAAAGACAGGGAATTAGTTAGATGTTTTCTGGTCTGTGAAATCATTTAACAAGAGATTCAAAGTAACACATACTGTATTTATCGCCATTCTTGCTTCAAAGTTATCCACACAACTCAAAACCAAATCAACTGGCTTCCCCTCTTCTAAGCCGCCATGGCTATAAGGAGTATTAAAGGGCATACATTCAGTAAAAAATGTATGAGTACATAACAAAAGGTGCACCATGTTTTACCTGATTCTTTCCATAAAATTATTAAAATTTTCCATTGTGGTGATGTTGTAGTTATAAGTCTCAAATGTCACATCTGGGTTTATATTTCTGTCGGAAGTTACAGAAAAAAAAAAAAAGAACCAAACTAAAAGATCAAATTTTATTATATACTGTCAAGTATGTGTTTCTTTAATACCTGAGAGTGTATTCTGCTGCCTCCACTTTACTGAGGCCAGCTTGGTGTGGCTGGAAGAACAAACGGTTCATGTTGGCCAGCTCTACTTTGTCATAGTCGAAAAGAAGCAGCTGTAATGCCAAAAAAGATGTAGTATTTAAACACTTAAAATATATAAAATGTTACACAATGAGAGAAAATGTCTGATAAAAAAAGATTCATTACCTTACCAATACCACACCGAGTAAGCATTTCTGCAGTGACACTGCCAACTCCTCCAACCCCAACCACAGCAACAGTGTACGTCCGGATTTTCTGTGAACACATCAGGAGACAATTACTAAACGTGTAATATGTGTACCACAGTATTCAATCTGCAACAAGACAACTGTAATGGTAACAAGTGATTTTGAAAGTCTAACCTCATAATCATCCACAATTCCCATTCTCTTCAGAGCCATAAGTCGACTGTAAAAAATGTATTAGTTTGAGCTATGATGAAATTACAACATAAAATGTTAAACATAAAATGTTTAATAAAATGTTATCATCTGCATTCATTTTAGGCCTACATAAGCAGACAACCAAAACATGAAAACCAAGAGCATTCTCGTTCTCACAGGATTAGTACTTCGTTATTTCACTTTAAACTATTCAAATTCTGTTATTTATTATGGCTCCATAATTTTAAATGTAGTTTGTTACCATATGGGGCGAATGACTCACTCACAGAGGCGTGTCCCTCACTTTGTTTGGAATTTAGAAATACACGTTATAATAATGTAAAATAAAGCTGTTTATACAGATCTGTACCTGTATGGATTCGAGTCGACCACCTCGGCACTCATCTTGTCAATCTTTGGTCTGTGGAGTGACTGGTTTGAAGCATCCTCTTCGGTACACTGCTTTTGCTTGCACTTTATTAATTCATTTTCAAGCTCCCTAACTCGCAGTTTCAATTCCTCAATCGTCGCCATTCTTTTGAAAAAAAATTGTTATCCAGCAGTACAAATTATGAGTAGTAATCACGCATAAAAATAAATCCAATTACACCGCAGAACTTGTACACGTCTCCACAACAGTCAGCTGTGAGGATAAGTGTACCCGTGAATAGGGTCCGTAAGGAAATGAGAGCGAATTTTATTGTTCCACGATACCATTTCAAGAGCAACTATTGGGCATTGATATGCATAGAGACACATAAGTGTTAGTATTATTTGAATGCATATTTAATAATGTATAGGACAATGCAAGTGGTCTTATGTTGGTAAATGCTATGGAAGTATAGATCGAAGCGGAACAGCATTACAGCTTTTGTTGTGTGCACTATTAAACTGTCCGGGTGAATTGTCAACACTGCCCGTGAACACTGTCTTACTTTTGCTGCGCCACAGTAAATGATTAATATGATTTAGACATGGACGACTGGACAACTCCAGTACGAGAGCAACATAAATTCAACATTGACAGGCTTCAGAACTATCTATCTGCCAAGTCACTGCTGTCTAATAATGACAGAATAACTATCAGTCAGTACAGGTAAGTGAAGAGAACTATTTAACAAAAGCGGCAGTTTTAAAACTTAAACTTGCTAAATTATTAATCGCCACCATGTGGGTTTTTGGTTTTAGTTTTGGTCAGTCCAACCCCACTTTTTTAATCAAGTCTCCATCAAGAAACTATGTGCTCAGGAAGAAGCCCCCAGGAGAGCTCTTGCCAGGGGCACACAGGGTGAGGGCAGCTGTTTTACTACTGTTATGTTAAGACGTCTCCGGCAGGGGGAGACTTGTGTATTGTGTGAAAAAGTCTCCAAACAATGACTCACAGCAATAACTTATTAAACTGTCATTTGTGTTCATAGATGGACAGAGAGTATCATGTGCAAAAGGCCTTGTTCTTGACTGGCTTTCCTGTTCCTCAGCCTTTGTTGCACTGCACTGATGCAGACATCATTGGCACAGAGTTCTACATAATGGAACACATAAAGGTTGGTTCTACGACAGCCTCAGATCTGAACATAGTTATGCGTTATTGAGTTATTGAGTTGAGTAAAGTTGGCATGTACTCTGTACTATACCCCATGTCTCTGCACTACTGACTTCTGGTGTAGATATATATAAAAATCATTGTTTGTCTGAACATTCAAACTGGCACTGTATAAATTATTGTTTAATTAAGGGGCGTATATTCCGTGATCTCCGCCTCCCTGGAGTGTCAGCATCAGAGAGAGCAGCTTTGTATGTGGCTGCAGTTGAAGTGCTGGCAAAACTACATTCTCTGTCACTGGCAACATTGAAACTTAACGGATATGGAAAAGGATCAGAGTATAGCAGGAGACAGGTGCATCACAGATCATACAGAGTATATCATACAGCAGGAGAAAATAGTGAATGACTGTTAATACATATTTGTGTTACAGGTGTCCACCTGGACAAAGCAGTACCACGCAGCTGCTCACAAAGACATTCCAGACATGAACAATCTTACAGATTGGCTGTTGAAAAATCTGCCTGACAGTGATGATGAAGTTACTCTTGTGCATGGAGATTTCCGGATAGATAATTTAATATTTCATGCCAAAGAGGTATTTTTTTGCATAATTTGTGTTTTCTCATCAATTGTCAGTTGATATACTAATCTGAAATAATTGTTTTTAGGCTCGTGTAATAGCAGTGTTAGACTGGGAGCTTTCTACCACTGGCCAACCAATGGCTGATTTGGCCTACTTCCTCATGCATCATTACTGGCCCAAAGACTTTAAAATTAACTCAATGGGCAGCTTAAAAGGAGTGGAAGGTCTGAAACTAATAATATTATTATTAAGTAATTGTTTAAAATATCTCATTATTCCTAATAGGTATTCCATCTGTGGAGGACTTGAGCTCCATTTATTGTAATTGTCGAGGGATCCCCTCCTTAATACCAGATCTAAACTTCTATCTGGTTCTATCAGTCTTTAAATTAGCAGCCATTGCCCAGGTTTGTGCGCCTCGCAGCTGGTCTAATTTCAAGCACATTTAGTCTAGTAACAGTATATTTACGTTTTTTTGTTTTCAGGGGATTTATGCTCGCTATCTCCTAGGGAATGCCAGTGCCCCAAATGCTGCTCAGTTTGGCCAGTGTGTGGAGCCACTGGCTGCTGTTGCCTTACAGATTGCTCAGAGGTTAATATCAGCTCCATGGGGTGAACTAATGATCGATATATGCTGCCTCATTCAGATGTGTTTTTGTTAGGTCTCTTTCAAATGCGACTAAATACAGTGAAGACCCAACTGTTCTCCAGCAGGTTAAAGACTTCATGAGGCAATATGTTCTACCTGCACAAAAGGTACAATATCAAAGATCTGTGTTTTTGTTTTCTTACACACCAAAGGTCAAACAACAGAAGTTCATTCATTCAAAAACAAAAATTTTAGGTGGATTACTGAGTTGTTGGCTAACACCCTTAGAGTTGTGCCCAAGCTTATTCAGCATGAGAAAATTATTAGTTACTAGTATGTACAAACTTTTTTTTTTTTTTTACCAAGGAGGTCCAAGAATATTATATCAGACATGCAGAGTCCCCACAGAGATGGCACATTCCTCAAATCATAAAAGATCTCCAGGTAATACTAAAAACTGTATTTATCTGAAATGTTACTAATCATTATTCTAATATTATTAGCAGTTAAAACATATAATAGAAAAATGCACAATAGACTGTTGATGTATTCAGGTGAAGGCAAGAGCGGCCGGACTGTGGAATCTCTTTCTGCCTGCTGTCAGTGGTCTGAGTCAGTTGGACTATGCTTATATCGCAGAGGAAACAGGGCGCTGCCTCTTTGCTCCAGACGTCTTTAACTGCCAAGCTCCCGGTAAAACCATTGCAGTTGTTTTCCATCTTCATTCTCAACCATACCACAATTATTGAAATATAAACCATAATATACAACCAGCTCATAAATGTCAAAACCAAAACTGTAACTGTGATGCGGAAAGTTGTTTTTGTTTTTCTCAAAGATACAGGAAATATGGAGGTCCTCCACATGTTTGGCAGTGAGGAACAGAAGAGGCTGTGGCTGCAGCCTTTACTCAGAGGGGAGATCCGGTCCTGCTTCTGCATGACAGGTATCTGGATTATGGATAGCTTTGTGTTTCCACTGTATAATTGAAATTATTAGTATATTTTTAAGTATAGTATAGTATATTAGTAGTATATTTAGTATATTTTTTATTTATTATTTACAACTCAACATCATCAAAACTCTAACATCCAGTTTTCCTTGTTTTGGTTTCATCTTTGCCCACTGCCTAGAAACAGTAGTGAACTGTTGCCAGCAGCCATTACAATGGGTGTGAACCACACATAGTCAACGTACAGTAGATTGTGCTAACTTGCGCTGAAGGATGGATCTCTGGAGTGATCTTTTTACAATGATCTCAGAACAATGATGTCAGATCCTCTGTTCTTTAGGACCAACCATAAAGAGGAGCAAAACATGCTACGTTCTCAATAGAATATTAGAGTATTCACTTCCTATGAATTGAAACTAAAGTTTTTGACTTAATTACCTGGTAATTCTAGACTATATTTTTGTTATTATCTCTTTCCAGAACCTGATGTTGCTTCGAGTGATGCCACAAACATAGAGTGCACTCTTGACAGAGATGGAGACAGCTACATTATCAATGGAAAGAAATGGTGGAGCAGTGGTATGTGCATCTCTACATTATTCTTTTGCCACACAACACAGATATGGACCATCTGTAGGGTAACTAACTATAATAACACAAATAATACTTTTTGTAGATGTGTACTCTCTTGTTCTCTCTAGACTTTTGACTTTTGACTTAGAGTTAACATTTTATGTTAGGTTTTATTGTGCTTGTATTTTGCAGTTTGGAATACTGTCAAACCATAACACTTGTTTTTGTTCTATGAGTCATTATATCCAAGCATGCTATTTTCGTATTAAATCACCATCAAATAGAAGTAAAACTAAGACACAGTGAGCAATGCCCTGAAAAAAAAGGATGGTGTTTTCCTTCTCCACTCAGTCTTTCCATGTCCTGAGTTAAGTAAGAGCTCTGAGTCTGCTCTGGCTTGTTTGTGTATGTGAAATGGAACTGATGTCATTTTAAAGACACTCAATATCGTCCAGGCAAACTGAATAAGTCCAGATGTCACATGAAGTTGCAAACACGGGCTGTATATACAATATTCAGACTTGCATTTTGCACTTTAAGGTAAATATAAAATTGCATATGACAGGATAGACTACTCACTTGACCAAAGCATTGTTAAAATCAATACATTTAAGTTTTACCCAATATTTTTTCATTGGGAACTTCATAAATTTTACTTCCTGGTTGGACTTGGGCAACAGATATGACATACCTAAAGGTAAGTTCATAACTGTTACCTGGCAATCATAATGTTAACAGGAGCCAAAACTTGCACAATAGTTATGATTAGACCTGTATTTTTACCTGTTTTTTGAATGACGGTTTAATACCATCCTTGCGACTAAATTGTCCCTGCACTTTGGACTTTTTGAATTTTCCATGTTGACTACATAAATAGAGGTATTCCATTTGAGAACTCACTGCTACTTTGTGTATTTATGTACTTTTCTTCAATTTTTTTCTTGACTTAACTGATGCTAAGTATTTACTACATGTAGCATCACACCAAACCAAGTAATTGGAAAAACCTGAAAACCTTTCATATGCACGTTAAGGTAAAACACCCTGTGCTTCTGTCAGTTTAACAGATATGGGAATTTAATAACAATGTCATAAAGCACCAAAGTCCAGATTCTATGTAGGGCAGAGTGGAGCAGAGAACTTGCTTGTTCACCTGGTATAGATCTCTTCCTTTGTGTGGTGTCCACTGAAATCAAATCCATGCTGTTGTCTGAGGCACGCCTTGTGTGCTATTCTTTCACTGTTCTGATCTGGAGGCAGTTTAAGTTAATACAGTGACTAACTGCAAATGCACACAGTTGTAAACACTGTGGTTTCATGTTTAAACTCTAATGCTTTCGACTCGATCTACCCCATACTGGTCTGACTCATGGCTTGCATCTATAAGGGAACTAAAATAATCCACATCCACAGCATATTAACAATCCCTGATGGTTGTTGTTAGTTGGTTTCTAAATATTTAAAACTAGATGGATTGCCTTCTGTGCAATCATACCATGCCACATCCTTAACCATTGCCAAATGAAAAGCAGATGATGAGAACAGTAAACAAATTCAACAGCAAATTGATTAAATAGATATACATTTTATTTTACAAATATTTTGTTCAGTGTTTTTTGTGTACATTTTTGAACAAGAGAAAATATGAAAAAAATATACATATTTAGATCTGTAGATAAAATAACAAATGTAAGGTGCAAGTAGAAAATTAGTATATAACAAGTCTTAAATGCTGAAGGTGCTGGTGTTCTGCTCATCAGAGGCAGAATGTGACTGCACTTGTGAGCAGTTGTTCAGAGCTATCTCGACAGCAGGCTCCTGGGACGGTTGTCGCCGGTGACTGTCCAGGTGCTGGCCCAGATGTTTAACAGCCTTCAGGATGTGCAGCCTAAAGGATGAGCCCATGAAGGCATAGAGCAGGGGGTTAATACATGCATGTGTGAGGGCCAGGCTCTCCGTCACCTGCAGAGCGTGGTCCAGGCTCTTACTTGTGTCACAGTCCGTCACGAGCAGATAGATAATGTCCAGTGTGCGGCACAGTTTGACCAGAGTGTAGGGCATCTGAGTGAACAGGAACACAGCCACCACAGCCAGTAGCACACGCAGGGCTCTCCACTTCCTCTGCCTGCGCCCCCCTTCCCCTCTGCTCAGGGTCCAGCCCACCCAGCTGTAGCACACCACCATCACCACAAATGGCACCAGGAACCTGAGGATTAGCTCCAGCAGCTCCAGGGCAGATTTGGCAGCTCGTGCCATGTGAATGGGGTACACCGCTGTGCATGATGTTCTGTGGTGGGAGTGTTTGACTGTGGAGAATATCAGCTCTGGAAGGCTGAGGAAACTGGCTGTAGCCCACAAAGCAGCACACACCAGCAGCCACTGTTTCCTGAGGCGAGAGCTTATCCCTGGCCGGCCCCTGGTAACCTGTGCCACTGCTCTGTACCGATCCACACTGATGCAGGCCAGCAGCAGCATGCCACAACTGAAGTTAGTGCCATAGACAAAAGATGTAATCTTACAAGCTGCAGAACCCAACCTCCAACCGTGAACTGCGTCTGCGGCCCAGAAAGGCAGCGTGAAGAGGAGCAGCAGGTCGGAGATGGCCAGGTTGAGAATGCACACGTCTGTTAGGGTGCGGAGGCGCAGACGGGAAGTGTAGACCACCACCACCAAAGCGTTTCCTGACAGCCCCACCACTAGAGCCACAGAGTAGATGATAGGCAGGAAGACACTGCCAAAGGAGCGCACAGCCTCTTTATCACAAACTGTGTGATAGTCCTCATAGTCGTAAGTCTCATTCAGGCCATCATCATCATCGAAGTAATCCTCCATGTTTACTGCAAAATAAAGAGGATAGGGTGGGGCAAAGTGAGAGAGGAGGACCAGGTCTTGTAAGAATTATTTCATGATTTGTGTTTTACACCCTTGGGATTTATTGCCTGTGGATTTCTTTAAAATGTTTTTCTGGATCAGCTATTCTAAGTTGTTAAGTCCATACTGCATCTGCACAGCAGATTTTTTATCTAATTGTCCCTCACTCAGATCCATCATATTCTCCATGGAGCTGTTATGTCTACTGAGGCAGGTCAGATAAGGAGCAAGGTTCTGATTTGCACTCAGATTCATACTACTTCAATTCATACTACTTGTCTGGAATTTTCTTGGTACGATATGGAACCTTTTTATCTTCATTGAGACCAAACTAGACCAAGTTACAGGTCGGTTCTGTGGACAAGGTCGACCCTGCTTACAGTCAGAATGCCTTCTTTTCTAGGTTTTTCTAACTGAATAAATGTAAAGTAGAGCTGTTTTAATGTCATATTGTGAAACATTCCAGGCAGAGATGACATATCCATAGAAAGAAGCATGCACATACCTTCAACTTTTAACATTGCAGAAAAATGTACTGAGACTTTTAGAACAAAATCACTATTCCTGGCATTCCTGTATGTATTTATGTTATAAAAGTAGTCTCCAGTTGTTACATCATATGTCATTATCTCCCCTGTGGGCGTTGTAAGGGTTTCCACAACAGATGTTAAAATGTTAAGTATTCCTCCCCTGTCAAAAGCTGGGCCTCTTATGTTTTAATAATAATTGATTTTTTTGCTATATTGCAACATAAGCAGAAAATGAAAAGATAATATCTGATTTATAGTATACAGGGATTCACCCTCTACACTCTAAAATAGATCCCATTTATTTCATTTTCCAAAATGAACAGTACATCTACATTAACAAATATAATGCACAAGGAAATATAAACAAGAGCAAAAAGAGTGTACATTGAAATGTTTTCTCACTGCAGTTGAAATAATGTCATAAAGTAATTACTGGACTTGTGACTCAGAATAAAACCAACCTTTGGCATTACCGATCTACACAAGGCACAAGAAACAACATTTGACAAAGTTTTCCTTTTATTTACATGTGCAGAAAAAGTGATAGGAATCTTACCTTGTAATCCTGTGAGCTCCTGTGTTCTTGAGCTGTAGTGAAATGTGTTATGGGGTGGCTTTCACAGTCTAGTCCATAGCCCGCCCCGATCCCTCCACTGCTGACAGCAGAGGAGGGCTCACTGTTTAACTATGCTATGGGTGTGCGTTTTCACTTTGTATTCAATGGTAGATGACTAAGAGAATATCTTGTGACGCTTTTATTATTGCACTGCTCAGATAAGACCTCTTGTCAGTGTCTTTTCAGATAGATATTTGAATTGTCATGTATTGTATTGTATTTTAAATGTATCGGCCTTACTCAGAGTAGCTCCTTGATATATTTTGAATGCAGGAATCTGTAATGTTATAAAATTATAGATCAGTGTTTCTCAAACTGTGGCATGTGTACCATCGGTAGTATGCGGACTCATTTGCAGTTCACTTATTTGCTGCATCGCATGTAGTATCCAGTTAGTCATGAGAGTAGTCCTATTTTAGACCGGATTGTCCCCTAGTTTAGACCTAGTAAAAGTCTTGTTTTGCCACCTGGTTTAGATCTTGTGGAACACAGAAAGCCGAATATTTTTTATTTGGTGAATATTTTTTATTTGACAACATCTGGGATTAAATTAATTTGATCTGCATGTGTTTACACCAACAGGTTTTATGAAGTAGCCGTCTCCGGTTATTCAAGCTTCAGACTGGTACACACTGGCTTGCTATCTAGTTGGTTTACCTACTGTATATTTGTGCACAATGACAATATTTGGCCTACAGATTAAGCTTAATCACAGAGTAAATCTATAAAAATGTTTGGTATGTAGTACTGAGGCTTCATTCCAGCAGTGGGGCTTGTCTGGGCACAGCAGGGCTTCTTATGGTCCATTATACTTACATAAGAGTTCACGTGAACTAGAATCCTCCAGGGCAAACAGACAGACGTTTGGGTGGAGCGGTCTGGGATTCCTTCTCCTTGATTTTCACAGTTACTACTTAAGCATGATCAACCTTATTTATATCAAAGCAACAGGATCAATGACTGTTCTTTTGTGGCAATTTTTGAGGGCAGGATTGGTTTAGTAAAGTGACGGGCCTTCTGGAGACGTCTGGATTTCAAACCTCACATTCTTTGGGGACAGTTTTACCAGAAAAGTACGTATAAACAGGAAGCCAAGCCATTTGTCATCCAGTCTATTTCCTAAGGGACTTAAAAGACACAGGACAGGCCAGGCATTTTTTCCTACTTTATTTACTCTTACTAGTCTATATTCTGTTGTTAGGTATAACAGTGATGTAGTTGCAATATTGCAATATCCTAAAGCAAGGCTATTAGATTTGTTAACCAAAGCTCTAAAGAAAATCATATTGAAGGCTATGCTTCCCTGCTGCCCACCCTTTTGGACCTCCCTCCCCACACACATCAGAGACTCATTTTATATATATATATATATATATATATACACACACAAAAATTATTATTATTAAACGTTATAATTCACAGTGTAACTAAGATGTTAATAGGGAAACTGTAAAATCACTGTAGCTACACCAAAACTTCAAAGAAAGACAGATCATTCAGGCAGAACTGGGTATAGTTCTTTGTCATAGATTTGGTGTAGAAAAAAGACAAAGCATTTAAATATACGTAGCAAACCGTGACATTTTACTTAGCAGATAGAATATCCAAGAAAAATATTACACCAAAAGAATTCACCATAGGATATTAAAGCTATTCTTTGTGTCCAGTGCCTGTGAGGCTGTAGTGTCTACTCTACCATCCAACATGGTCATTTCCTCTTGGACAGCTCAAACTGTTTCCGGTCTTACATGGGTCATGAAAGGGTTAAGGACAGGCAGACTAAAATAATGTGCAAATTCATCAAATTGAGCTCATAGGAAACACACTTTTCCTTTACAGGTGCTGGTAATCCTGATTGTAAAATCGCTATTGTCATGTGCAAAAGCAAACAACCAGATACAAACAGCAGGTGAGTGAATATATATGATATATATACATGTGATATAATGTTACAATACTTTTTTTTTTTTTTTTTTTACTTTAACTGACCTTTTTGGAAATTGTGTTTCCTGTAACTGTAGACACAGCCTCCACAGCATGATCCTTGTGCCCATGGACACACCAGGGGTGATTCGGGTCAGACCGCTTACTGTGTTTGGACAGGATGGTATGGTTTGTGCTTGTGTTTGTCGTTTGTGCATGTTTTTCTAATTATTACTTGGTTTGGTGGGTTAGCACCTGTGATAAATATAGTATTTTAGTTAATGTAGCAGTTAATTGGTTGTTGGGGAAAAAACTGAGAACAAAAACTGAGAACAAAAACACAAGAAGTAGAGCTGAGTTCTAAAACAGAATAACTTTACCTATGTCATCAACAATGTGCAACTCATTTTTTTAATTTAAAGTTTAATCATAACTATTGCACGATATAACGTTTTGGCCCTTGTTTACAGTATAACAGTGTGGTTGCAAGGCAATTACCTGTATGTGGCCATTCCAGCTTGTCAAAGCCTGATCTCATCAGATCTCAGAAGCTAAGCAAGGCCAGGCCTGGGTAGCACTTGGATGGGAGACCACTGGGAACTCTATGTGCCACAGTGGGGCACCAGTGGCAAAAAAAAAACAAACCCTGTCTTTTTATTCAAGACACTTCACCTACATTTCCTAGTAAGAAAGAGGTGTTGGTGGTGGTCGGAGGGGCCGGTGGCACAGATTGGTAGCCTAGCTTCCATCAGTCTGTCCCAGGGCAGCTGTGGCTGTAGTTTGTCACTGCTGAATGTAGAGTGAATGAACAATTAACTGTTAAGCGCTTTGGGTGTTTTGAAAAGTTCTATATAAATGCAATGATTAATAAATTAATTTAAAAAATAATTAATTATTAATAATTACCTCAACCTATGTCACAAATATTATATTATATATATATTCAAAAACTAGGCATTTATGTTTGTAAATGTTTTAATATAATATTAACTATGTTTGAAATAACCTGTCATGCACTTATATTTATTTCTACTCTTTCCAGGTCACCCCAAATCTAACATAACCATTTAACTGTTTTCATTCCAGATGCTATTCACGGGGGCCATTTTGAAGTACACTTTGAGAATGTGCGTGTTCCCGCGTCAAACATAATATTAGGTAAGCTCTGTAAAAAAAACAACTACATTCTGTGAAATTGTCCCAAAGTGCCACTGCCCACCTGTCAATCCAGAAGTCACACCAGGGCCCCTTATTAAAAATATTTGATGTTATTCCTCTTAGATATATATGCAGACTGTAGCAGACTTTGTTTAAATGTACTACTTATATATTTATGCTATTAAAGTTATTAATTTCACTTTTATTTAAATGTATAGTGGTTAATCATTTGCATGAGGGCAAAAAAGTATAGTAATACTTTTTTATAGTATTTGTGTCTACTGCACCTCAAACCTAAATTGTTCTTACCAGGAGAAGGCCGGGGTTTTGAAATCGCACAGGGTCGTCTGGGGCCCGGCAGGCTGCATCACTGTATGAGGGCAGTGGGCCTGGCAGAGTTGGCGCTGGAGCTGCTCTGTGAGCGCGCCGCTTCTAGACGCACGTTTGGAAAGGCGCTCTACCAACACGTAAGCACACGGCGCTCTGGTGCCATCTAGTGGATATATTGCGTATTACAACTTGTGCACATGTAGGAGGTTGTGGCTCACTGGATAGCGGAGTGTCGCCTTATGATAGAGCAGACCCGTTTACTGACACTGCACGCGGCCCATGCACTGGATACAAAGGGGAGTCGGGCTTCACGTAAAGAGGTAAAAACAATTGTGTGTGTGTTTTTGTGTGTTCGCTAATCTTATAAACGTGTTTATATTCTAGATTGCCATGATTAAAGTGGCTGCAGCTCGGATGGCCTGTAAAGTGGTAGACTGTGCAATGCAGGTATATGGAGGAGCAGGGGTCTCTGGGGACTTTCCTTTGGCCCAAATGTGAGTCTGCAGCAGTTTACAACATGTAAAATCTAACCTCCTTGATGCCATCTAAACCTTTCTTCCAGGTATGCATATGCCCGAACTCTGCGCATCGCTGATGGACCAGATGAAGTGCACCTCTCTTCTATTGCTCAGCTAGAACTGAGAGATCAGCTAAAGAAATCACAGTCCAAGCTGTGATCACAAGTCATGTGATCCTGCAAAATGCAATTGTGATTTGATTTGCCACCAAATAATGCCTTATGTAGAGATGAAGATTTGATATCATGACAGAATTTATCTATTAACAGACACTTGATTAAAAAAAGAATCATGTTTATTAGGAATTCTTTTCTAATGTAATCTACAAAACGGAAATTGACAGCATGAATAAAAGACACCCGTCAATATCGCACGCTGTGTGGGAGTGGTCTACTACCATGTAGGTAATTTCCACTGTGAGGAGGGGATGTCCAGATCAACATTTACATTATTTATTTTTACAAAATAAAACAGCCATGGCCTCATCCATTTCAAATAGCCAACGAAAACCATGCAACACCCTGCAGTGATCTGTGTCTGTACATTGGGAGCCCTGGGGTGCACATTAGGCATCAGAAAAGGCAGTCACAAGTCCTCTGAAATGTCAGTGTTTACTTTTCTTTGACTTCTTGTGAGAGCGATGAGGCGACCGGGAGCGGGACTTTGACCTGGACTTTTTTGTGGACTTCTTGGGTGTTCTTGAGCGTGACCGCCGTGAACGTTTAGGTGTGCGAGGAGATGGAGATCTAGACAGACAAAATGTATTGAATTTTATTGAACATTTATTGTTATTAACATTTATTGAACAAAGTTAAAAGTTTAAGTTATTTGTTCTTCTAAAATATTGATTTCTGCATTAATTACCTCACAGGTTTATTTCATACAATTTGAATATACATTTTACAAAAGCTATTCCAAAATATCTTACCTCTTGGAGGACTTTTTACTAGAGCGTGGAGAGTCTTTATAAGAAGAGCGAGAGGAAGTGTCTTTAGAGTAGGAGCGGTCTGAGCGCTCAGACCTCTCAGAGCGAGGAGAAGATGAACGCCCCCGTCTGCTGCTACTGCGTGCTGGACTGGGGGAGTTACTGTGATGGCGCTTCCTGTAATAACAATTTATTGTAGTGTTAAGTTTCAAAAAACACATGCATTAGATAATTTTAAAAGGATCTTAGATTTCTCTAAACTTCAATGTTTTTTGCTGCTGGTTAGAACTTGACATGTTGTCATGTTCTCATAATAACGTGGACAGCTCTTTATACATGAAGAATAAGATTATTTCTATACAGAGAAGACAGAAGTGTAGCTCACCTGTCTTTCCTGGTGGGCGTGTCATCCTTGTCCTTCTCTTTCTTCAGCTCTTTCAGTCGTGTCTCTGCCTTTTCCTTCTCTTTCCTCTCACGCTCTTTTTCTCGTTCAAGTTTCTCCTTTTCTTTTTCCTTACAATACAAAAACATAGTAAAATTTTGCCTTTCTGATACTGCATTGCACCACTTTGCAAACAGGTACCTTTTGTAGTAGTTTGTCTCGATAGTGTTCCACTTGTTCCTGAATACTCTGACCAGCTTTCTTGGGTCTTTTTCCTGATTCCAGTTCATCTTGAAATTTCATTACTTTTACCTAAACATTGGAAGTGATGAGATCATGAATGAAGCTCAAACACAGTGTTGGAGTCTTATATTACACACCTCAATCTCTCGGAGCTTGGAGCGTTTCTCCTCATTGATTTTGTAGTCCATGTCTTCTCTCGTGGGGTTGGAGTAGCTCTGTGGGTCTTCGGAGTCATCCCCATTCCTTAGACACAGAAATATACTTTTGTTTATTGTTCATTAAAAAAACACAATACACACTACAAGAACTTACTTTTTCATTCCTTCTGGCTGCTCAAAAATTTCCCATTTGGATGTTGTCACAGCTAAGAATAATATTAAATAAGTTATAAAAGATATTTTGGAATAACAAACATTTTATGGGAATCTTACCTTGAGCTTCCAATTCGGACTCATCTACGGCTTCCCATTTAGAAGGTGCTACCTTGAAGGCTGCCTCTTTAGACTGATCAACTGTAACATAAAAAAACACAATTAGGGAAAGCCCTTCCATACATTTTCCCAGTCAAGCTTGGGTAAAACTCACAGGGTATTCCATCAATGTCATCTTCTGCATGACGAATGGGAACACCATCGAGGTCATCCAAAGGAGCTCCATCGAGTGGAGCACCATCTATAGGTGCACCGTCGATGGGCATCCCATCCACATCCTCCACAGTGTCCATATAATCCACTATGGGAGCGCCATCCACGTCATCTGCAGCTTCACTCTGACAGAACACAGAAGCATTTGGATTTATAAGATCCACCAACGATTTTTTTTTTTAATGAAGTCAAGCAGCAAAACAGACCAAGATGACTAAAAGAAAGTGTGAGGATTTAAAAAGAATGAACTCAAAAGACATGACTTGAAGAGAAATATTACCTCAGGCAAAAGAGCGGCAGTTTCTTTTTCAGAAGACAGATTGACCAGACCAAGGAAGATGTTCTGGAGCTTGATGAGGAAAGGGTCCGGGTACACAGCCCATTCTTCCCATGCACGGAAACACGACATTACACGTTGCTACAAAAGAAAAATAGTAATAAAGATGTGAAATCCAGCCCTTTCAAAAAGCACAAATCTGCACTTTTCCAAGTACCTTGAAGTTTTCACTTTGTAGATGACCTTGTATTGTTTTGTATGTTGCATTCAGGTCTGAGAATATCTGACAAAGTTTTGACTCAAAACTACAAATAAAAACAGAAGAGTAAAATTAAATGAAACACCACTTGAGCCATGCAAAGAATTTTAAAGACTTACTATTTTCTATAATATGATGCATTGGCTACTTTTGCAGAAGAGTTGTATAACACATCAGAGACCAGATATAACCGAGCAATCTGAAATACATAAACAAAATTTTTTGTATTTTTTGGTTATTAATAGTGAGATAAAGAAAACCTAAACACACCCATGAAAACATTTCAAGTCTTACCTTCTTAGGAAGTGGGGTTTTAAGGATAGATAATGATTCTGCAATACATTCAACAATCTCTTCTGCAGCCTCGGCATGATTAAGACAAAACAGCATAGCTTCACCCACATCTCCTCTCCGGGGTGTCAGGCCGCGCAACATCTCCTCCAACTTATCTCGCTCACTGTGCAAAAATACAGCAGTGACATACTAACTAATAACATAATAACAGAGTACTGTAAAGGAGGAGGAGTTTCTATCTTACTCTTCTTTCAAGCAGCCTTTCTTGCTCCCTTCCTCCTCTTCTTCCTCTTCATCTTTGTCGTCATATGGCCCGTGTAGATAAGGGTTTAGAGGAGGGGGGCGCCAAAGAGAGCCATTTTTGAACATCCTAAAATCTTCTGTTCGCCATTTGGCTGGTGATTCACCCTGTAGGTTTAAATGGAAGCCATATAAGTAAAATTGAGAATACCCACTAACATAGTAATCCATTTTTCGCACAACAGATTATACCTGTAGTATGGAATAAAGCTTCCATCTATAATACACGTGGGCTGGGCTCTGGTTCTCAAAAAGAAACCTGTATAAATGACAAGAAGAGCGTTAGTGATTATCTTATTCAAACTTGACACATGAACTTAACATTTTAGACTGAATTTCTTGTCACCTGTACATGGGGTTGTTGAGTTCTCGGTTCATGATCATGGCTTCAAACATTGGGCCCTCACGCACCACAAACTCGATCATACGATGGATGAGAGAAAGCAAATTCCTACAAGAAAAGCACAGTTAAAGCAAATGGTTTCAGATGACTGCCCTTTGGGTCACTGTTTACAAATGTGCTTGTTTAACACTCCTAACAGCTGCGCCAACATTTCAAAATGTAGAAATAATATTCTATAGACATTCTTTACTGGCTATTACTAACTCATTACTGCTCCATAAAAAGCCATCTGACAACTGTGAGGAGTTGTATAATCAAGCACTAAGTTATGCTCATACTTTGGAGTGTAATACAAATTGTGGTGTCAATCAATATCTACTATTTGTTCATTTTGAGTGATACTGATGATGTGGTTGAAGCTGCAGTGTACTTAAGATTATTAGTTGGAATGGCTCCTTTACTTATTCCAACATAAACCAGAGCTATAATTGGTGACCTACAACATATGTCTTGACTGCAGACAGTGCAAATAATATTGGTTACTACTACTGCATACAATAATCCTACAGTAGTAAACAAGACAAATGTATGTCCTTGATTGAACAACACAGATCACATTTACTTGTATTGGAGGTGATCGTACCAATGGCGGGGCAAAATTCTGTATACTTTCCCAATCCATCCCATGATGCTTTTCGGATCCCTCGCTGCTGCAGACAGTTCAAGTTGTGCTGCTCACCAAGGCCAATGTCAAAGGTCTCATGGATGAATGCTGACAACTTTGGATTTGTTCACAGGAGCCAGAGTTACTGAGCTCCCGATAGTGACAGAGGCCAAGGGGAAAGACTGTCTGAATGAGCAATGGTCAGAAAGCAGGATCCAGAGACCTACATACACTGTATCACTCAATTAGAAAACTTCGTTGACGGATGGGGTGGGATGTTGATGGGTGTATGTTTTTTCCTGCTAAGCAACAAAAACATGTCTAACATGAGATTTTGCTAAGACAATGTGGGTTATGGTGTGGGTATTGCATAGTAAGATTGCAAAAAGTATTCATTTCTATCTACTATAAAACCATTGCACTTTTCTACCATTGCTCACCCACACAGACCTGCCCCTGTAGCATGCAGTGATCAAATGATCAGTGATTTTTGGGTATATTTTATTGTATGGGATGTTATTTTCTAAGTTTGTACACCAATTTATAAAGAAAAAAATGTACCTTTCTGTTGGGATAACCACTTTGACTATGGCTTGCGACAGAGTCTGTATATGAAGTCACATCAGATAATAAACATAGAACGTGAGTAATGTTAAATAACAACAAATCCAAAATATAAAAATGCATTTCAATGTGCACAATATACTTTTCTTTACTGCTGTAAATAGTTAAAACTCCCTGACACTGAGCTGATTAAAACACCTTTCATATTTACACCTGCCATTCATCTACATCATGAACTACTATGCCAAAAACTAAACTTAAATCTTTTGAAAATTAATACAGTATTGCTGGCCTTTTAAAACTATGTATAACCAGCATAATCGCACAAACAATCATTTGTAATGTGCTAATCCTCAAGGTGGCGTGCCGAGTTACCTTCTCAAACTCCTCCTTGTTTTTGGGTGGAGGGAGCAGGGGCGCGTTAGGATTCTTTAGCCTCTCTCGGGTCTGGGCGTTGAAAGGCAGGCCAGAGGGGGGTGGGGGCAGTGTGTGCTCCATCATGGAAGGAGGGATGTAGATGGGATGGGGAGGAATAGGAACGCCTTTGCCCCAGCCCAGTTTCATCTCAAAATTCATGATAGTTTTTCCTTCAAGAATAAAAAGCAGTGTCAGTTTAAGAAAAATGGTTACACTGTCTTACTTAACAAATTTGGTCATACCATTGAGATTTTTGAGTGCACGTTCAGCATCCCTCCTGTTCATGAAAGCTACAAAGCCACAATTCCTCTCACGGGCTCGTTCTTCGTCGGTCCTTGGCCACATGATCTTGACACTAGCCAGGGGCCCATAACGCCCAAATTCTTGACACAGCATCTCTTCATTCATCTATAAAAAGTTATTAAAGATCAGTGGCTATGGCTGATTCACAAACTGTTTATTTTGACAACAAGTCTACCTGAGGATTGATGTTTCCCAAATACAAGTTTGTTGTTGATGGGTCTCCTACATCATGAGAGCCTGGTGCACTGTCGTCTAAAACTGTGGAGACAAAACAGAGAGAAAAATTCCTGCAGAGGACTTAAGGGAGGGTATCTAGCTTTGCAAAACATTAATAATATTCACAGCCACTATATTAAGTCAAATTTACCACTGGACGGACGGTTTCTTCGTGAAGAACCATCCGCTAAAAGAAGCAGAAATAGCAGTATAAATTTTGTTTCAGGGTAACATGGGTGAGGGGGGGGCGCAGGGGCGTAAAACAAGTGGCTTTTTCTTACTCTAAACTGACATTAGTAAATGAAATGAGGCACAGTTAACTGCACTTACATGAACGTCTTCCATCCACTCCAGCGACAGGTTCAAACCGGCTAACGCGGCCTTTCAACTTGTGTCGCTCATCCCTCTCCTCTTGAATTCTGCAGAACAGTTCGATGAACACAGTTAGATATTACATATAAGGCACCATTATTCATTCAGGGAAAAATACACTTACTGTTTAAGCTCTTCTTTGAAGAGCTCCAGGTTGCTTTTCTTCTTTTCCTTTTCATTGCTCTTCTTCAAAAGCTAACACATTTTTACAGGTAAAGAAAACTAAAACTACTTTACAATTAAGCAAAACAGACAGTACTTACATTTCTTTTATCAAAAGGTAAAAACTGAGATGGTGTTTCTAAAGGCAAGATGTTTCTTTGTGGAGGCTCAAAACGTGATTTGGGTTTGTACAGCTTTCCTTTTTTGTCTTCAGTTGTAGATTCATCTAAAAGCAATAAAAATATATATTCTAATTTGCCTTAACAGTTACATGCAAAATTACAAAACAAAACATATTTAGACCACTATATAAAAATACCCTTCGATGCATTGGCAAGACCCCCTCTGACAAATGTTTTGACTTTTCCCTCTCCACCTCCTTCAAAAGCTGCAAGAAACTCTTCATAAATTTCTGCTGCAGCTCTCTCGTCTTCCTGTCTCAAAAGTATATGATAGCTTTGAGTAAAATGGCCAACAGCTATGCTTCTTTGGCAAGCTGTATCACTTCCAGTTGCACCTCATACCTTTTTCTTGATTTCATCTTGCTCTTTTTTGCTCAGTGTGCGTTTTGTTCCTGACATCTTCCCAATGCTGAATGACTTCAGCTTGCTCTCCAGCAGCGCCTGTCAGTGCAAAAACACAACATTTCTATTTACAAACGGGAGAAAACAACCCGTGCAAGGACAAGTTAATTGTTAAAAGTAATCTCTGGCATGTTTCTTGAATATTATGACAAAGCACTCGAAGAATAGGAAGACCTGTGTAGACATCTATACATTATTTTACTACACTTCAGTCCATTTAGCCCAACAAGTGGAGAAGTCAACAAGCACCAACGTATGTCCACAACGCTAACAGGTTCCACTGAGGACAAGGGCCCGTGTCCCACCACCACAAACTTTTAGGACGTTTTGGCTCAAGAAATCTCTCACGCCCGAAACTGTTTTAGTTCGATAAGCACAATTATATTAACAACTAAATCAGAAGCTTTCTATTTACACTTGCTGACCCTGTGTACACACGGCCAAAGGCTAGCTGAGCGGCGTCGATAGCATCTTTAGCTAACATAGCTGAGGACTGCCGCGCACATTTAACACATTCTGCACACACAGTTTTCCTTCTACGCATACGATCCACTCAGGCATCCCATCATATCATTTAACAATGCCAGCAAGATATCATCGCACGGTTATATAATCTAAAAACAGCATTATTACCTTAGCGCTAGCTTTATGAGAGCCGCCAGGCGTTCTATCCGCCATCTTTTGTGGGGCAAAACTATCGACAATCGATTACATAGGACAACAAACGTGACATTTAGGCCACTCAGTCAACTACCGAGTGTAAGATGTTAGAGATGGAGATACTTGTGTGGTGAAGGTCTGGAAAGTGAAGGGCTCAAGCAAATGACAAGCCTAAAAAACAAGTCACGTTAAGTTACTTAAAATGTTTCTCAACTGAGTGGTTGGCGACCTGGCTCACAGACTGAGCAGTTTTTGAAACTTTAAAACTTAAGAAAAAAATGTAAGTTTTTTTTTTTTTTTTTTTTTTTTTAACTCTTTTTTTAACATAATTTTTCCCGTATCCATGAAGACCATGCAAGAGACTAAATGAAGTGGTAGCTAAATGATGATTATGAACATTTGAGATGCTACTGGCTTTATAGTTTTTATGAGGCAATATATGTGGCAGAAGACCTTCAGAGGAAATACTTGAACTGAACAGAAGGGACTGTTGGATTGTGTGAAATGAACAGTTTGTTTTTCCCATGTTCATGAAAACCGTGCAAAAGGCTATCTATTTAAGGAGCTAGTGTGGGAAATATTATGTGTTGATCATGCTAAATTCACCTAATATTATGGACTTTGGAATGACAACAGGGTGGAAAACGTATGACTATCTGTAGGTCTATATAACATGTGTATTTCTGTACTGGAGTGTCATAAAGAACTTGTTTTTCTGGACTTTGAGATGCCACGAAGCAGCAAAACTGACATATGTGGTCCCCGTGGCATGTTTCCACCCATGATAAGGTGTACTGGGTCAGCAGTATTGTTCATTTTCTTGCTGTATATGCTAAATCAACAAGTTAATGTTTTGTCAAGATGTAGTATAAAGCTACCCCTGATTTTGAGTTGGTCATTGAGGTGTCGTTCCGGGGTGACAGTTGTACATGGTAATCAACTTGAATTCTCTCAATGGAAAATGACGAAATAAAGTGGCCTGTTCTCTCGGATTCTCCATCTCGTGCTTCTTTTTAGGACACGCATGGAACCTTCCGAAAAAACTCACACTAGTTAAGAACTTTTGAGATGTTACAGTCTGATGTGGCAGCAAATGTGGCAGAAGACCTTCAGAGGAAATAATTTGAGGCAATGAACAGAACGGTCTGTTGGATTGTGTGAAATGAACTGTTTTTTTTCCCCATGCAAGAGGCTATCTATTTAAGGAACATAAACATTTGAGATGTTACAGGCTGATGTGGCAGCAAATGTGGCAGAAGTCCTTCAGGGGAAATACTTTGAGAGAATGAAGGACACTTCAGAACACATAGGGGAGGCATGGATCTGCTGGCCCTACCTGACCAGTTCTCCTGTTAAACTGCACTGAGACCTGAGTAAAAGCATTTGGTTTAGAACTGTGGTATTTGGTATTTGATTGTGCCTACCAAGACAAAAAATCAAAAAAAAAAAAAAAAAACATAAATACCTTACAATAAAATAAAACTGCAGCTGAACTGTCATCTCTGAGAGATCAAGTTATGCAAATCCAAGAAGGAACTTTGGCTTTACAATATATGAATAAATAAATAAAGAAATAAATAGGTTATTGTTGCACTACCTTTGACCCCGTAGCACCTTCACAGTGTATAGCTTTCTGTGTTATATTATTTATTTACTGTCAGCTTTTATTTTTTCTTAACTGCTCAACTTTTAAAATATTCATTATTTTATAAGCTTGTATGGTTTGACTGACACACATACACAAAAACTATATACTTAAAATCTCAGTGAGAATTGGTTTACAGACAGTAAATATGCAGAGTTCAACAGGTATGTTTTGAATTGTAATTGTCCAAAGTATCTAGCTGTCGCAGATGCGTATGAGCAGTAAAGTGTTCAAGAGTTTGGGGGCTGAATAGGCTGAATGTTCTGACCCCTATTGTGGCCACTTGTACATAGGCTATGTGGACTGAAACAAAACATCCAGAAGAGGGCGATATTGAGTTTTGTTTCTTCCCACCAACCATTTAATCAGTTTAATGAATTAAGCCTAATTGGTGGATTATTTATTTTTAATTGCTTTTTTTAATTGAAGTTGGCTGGTCGCATTGGCAATCTTCTTCTTATAACTCCAATAGACTATAATGCAAGAAGATGGGATTTTATTCATTAAGAACTAGCCAGTCTCAACTGTCAGATTGGCAAGTTTGTCCCTGTAATTTTTATTTAGGTGCCGCATGGAAACCAACAGTCTATATTTTTTCTCTGTGTGTTTCAGCGCAGTTTGCTCAGTCCCTCCTACCACGCAGAACAAACGCTATATTCATCAGAGATCCCGTCAGAGTGCAGTTGCTGTAACTCCCCTCAGGAGCTGCCCCCTGTCCTGTCTGGGCAGTTTCACACAATGCCATTCATGCCACGGTGCGAGATGAGGAGAAGCGTCCTGGAACCGGCCATGTGGAGGACGTGCAGCCTGTTTTGCGCATGGTGTCTGCTGTTCTTATCAGAAATTTGTGCGCAGTCTCAACGGAGGTACGACACATTTTTATTAACACTTGAACAAGGTGACCCCATGCGAGTGAATGCGTTAATTTTGTGGAATATTTTCATTCAGGTGCTGTGTAACAGCAATATGACGCATTGTCGAAGAGCTTGGATTTGCTGTCTTTTTTGTGACATAATAAGACAAATGAATAGTTTTATCGGTCTTTTCCAGACCCAGCTTCACGTGTGGAGGGAATATCACTGGAGACTCTGGAGTTATTGGCAGTCAGGGTTACCCAGGAGTTTACCCACCCAATACCAAATGTGTGTGGAGGATTACAGTGAGTGATTTGATACTTTTTACATTATTATGGTAAGGGCTTATTATTTTGAGGTATAAAAAGCTTATTAAATTAGCTGCTACACGTTTTTCTTAAAAATAAAAATGCCAAATTGTATACAATGGAATAATCAGATTACACAAGCCTACAGGAATTACTGTACAGTGAACAGTAAATGAATACAGTAGACTATAGGCTGGCACCCTGGAACTGAAACAGAAGAGGTGTAAAAGTTTTGGGCAGAAAAACTTACAAGATTTATTTTCTTTTTTATTGTTTTATTAGAATTCTACAGTATTTCAGCCATCTATCCAGTAAATATTACTGTGGTATCAAGTTGTACTCATTCTTTGTGTAATGTTAAGGCATACATGTATATACACTTATATCATGCAAACCAGATGTGAATTTCCTCCCAGGTGCCCGAGGGAAAGGTGGTGGTCCTGTCCTTCCGCTCCATAGACTTGGAGAGTGACAACTTGTGCCGATATGACTATGTCGATGTGTACAGTGGTCATGTGAATGGGCAGAGGCTGGGACGCTTCTGTGGCACCTTCAAACCTGGAGCCCTGGTTTCCACGGGCAACAAGATGATGGTGCAGATGGTTTCAGACGCCAACACAGCTGGTAGTGGATTTCTAGCAGTTTTCTCCTCTGCACATCCACATGAGAGAGGTAAGAAAACAAAAAGAAGTTAGTGCAAAAACAAATTATGTTTGTTCTAGTGATGAGTGACTGGATTGGAGTATTTTATGTTGTTTACAATGAAAACGTATTAGTCTGTTAACCCAAAAGGGACAATGATGAAGACTTTATCTAACTTTGTAGGTGAACATTTGACATGCAAAATATTTTTTATGTTTGGCCCTATCCTGATAATACGTATTCATTTTGGCTTGCATGGTAATAAATTACATAGTGTCTAGATTGACAATGTGTAACCTTTGACTCTTTTAATTGTTCTGACATAGCTTAGGACTTGTACAAAAAGACAAAAGACATCTCAATCCTCCTGTTAGTCAGATGTGGAATTTCTCACCAGTCTTTCTGTAAACCATCCATGTGAAGGCACCCATTTCCTCTGCGCAAGTTTAACAGTCTTATCTGCTCCTTTTAGGGAATTCTAATCACTGGTCTGTTCTCTGTCCTCAAAGGATTGACAGCTGTAATTGATAATGGCTGCCTTGCTTGCTTGGACACAATAGAGCTGCTCAGCAAAACCACCAATCTTCTTGTCTCTATTTTTGTCATTGGGCTACTGCTCCAGGGTTATTTTCGAAGAGAAACACCATCTAAATCATGAGTTACATCCACTGTTCGTGTCTATGCCAAAATCATCCACTGCAAATAACTCCAATGCAGGGGAAGATGGTTTATACTTGCAAACCTTTAGGAAAAATATAAATAAAAATTGATTTGAGGGATATTTAATTGTGTGAATTTTCCAGGTGATCAATATTGTGGAGGGCGGTTAGACAAGCCATCTGGCACTTTCAAAACACCAAACTGGCCTGAGAAAGATTACCCAGCTGGTGTTACCTGTTCTTGGCATATCATTGCACCCAAAAACCAGGTAAGGCCCCATTCCCAAAGTAAGTATTCAAAAATGTCCACTTGTAAATCAGCTTTTCTTTTGTCTATGCCCTTTTTGTATTTGTATGTTTTAACTTAGATCATAGAAGTCAAGTTTGAGAAGTTTGACGTGGAACGGGACAACTACTGCCGCTACGACCATGTCTCTATTTTCAACGGAGCAGAAATCAACGACGCTAAGAGGATTGGCAAATTCTGCGGAGACAGCCCCCCAGCGTAGGTGATTCCTGCTTTCGTTTCCTGACAGCTCTCTCCCTCTCGGTGGCTCTCACATTACCAACAGTCTCCTCCCCACAGGCCCGTGTTCTCCGAGGGGAATCAGCTCCTGATACAGTTCCTGTCAGACCTTAGCTTGACTGCAGACGGCTTCATTGGACACTACAAGTTCAGACCTAAGAAGTTCCCCACTACTACTCTCCCACCCACCACTACCACACAGCCAGTCACCACCAGGCCTATACGTAGGTATCAACTTTCATTCCTAACACATTGTTTATCACTTTAGGTACACTTTAAGTACAGCACATGATATTGTGCTTAAGGCCCTATAATTTGGTTTGTCTCACATTCCTTCTCATTGTTGCATTTTCCCTTAGTTATGCCAATTTATTTCTGACTTCTCTTTACATGATGTCATACTGTGCATATACAATTTTGTTGTTATCAAGTTAAAAGTGCTGTTACTTTAAAATTGTTTATCTCAAGTTGTAACTCAAGGAGCAGTTGCGGCAAATATTTAATGTTCACAACCATTACTGTTGTTACTATTATAGAAGCTTGTAGTAGATTTTCTGCCATTGTTTCTAGTGATGGGCAGTATCAATATTGGCAGATATTGATTATTTGATATTGATATCAGTTGATACAGATTTTTTTGCTTCCCCGTTCACATTGTATCCTTTTTGAACAGATTTATTAGTCAAAATGAACATATATTTTGTTTATTTTTACAAAAGTGCAAAGTTAATCATTTGTGATCAGCCATCTAATAACATTTATCAAGCAATTGCTTTTCTTTCTAAGCATATTTTCCCCTCGTATAATCCTTACTGAATTTCATCTGAAAAGCAGATGTGGGCTGGTCACTATTATATTACTCAACAAACCACACTTTTACTGTGTATTGTCTCTCTCAGACAGCACTAATGTTCCAAGACTTGAGCACTCCCCTGTTAGACATTTTAACTATTTCTTTCAGTACTAATTTAGCCAAGCATTCTACATTTAAGACTTGTACTGTACATGGTAAATGGCCACATTTTTATATAGAGCTTTTCCACCTTCAAAACTAAACTCAAAGCACTGTACATCAAGGAACCACTCAGCCATTCACACACACCTGTGAATGTAGACACTGGGGACGAAGCGTCGAAGTGTCTTGTTGAGAGCGTTGTTATTAGCAAATACAGTAGTTAGTAGCAGCTGTAGTACTGAATGAAAGAAGATGAATGGTCAAAGTGGTCATATCCCTATTTTTTTCTCTGTCACTATCTGGTAAAATGTATTTTGTGTTTGTGTCCCCACAGCTCTTAAATACTCAGTGGCCTTGTGTCAGCAGAAATGCAAAAGACGAGGAACACTTGAAAGCAACTACTGCTCCAGCAATTTCGGTAAGACCAACACCGCTTTATCCCACTCATTCAAACCACTTACCAACATGTGGCTACAGATGCACTATATTAAGCTATGAATATACAGTCATTTTTGGTTATTATTGAGCATATCTACAGTTACAGCCTAAAACAGCAGCCTTGACGTCAGAATGGAACTCCCTTATAAGATGTGGTTTGTCATGGTACTATCTTTGCCGCTTTGATTTTTCCACTGCATATATCAAAGACTTCCTTGATGGCTCCTTGGGAAGTGGAGTGCCTTGTACAGTGGGATACAGTTATTTCTATCTAAACACATGGACTGTCTCTGGCTGTTAAATGAATGTGTTGATTCAGTTTCTGCCTACCCCTTCTGATGTTTCCTTTGCAAACTTGTTTACCATCAACATTAGATTGGCATTTCAAAGAGTTTTCATGCAGGAATGGCAAATACGAATGGAAAACTTTGCAGCACTAAGAGCCAAGAGCACTCAGTTACATCACTTATAATGAAAGGGTTGGACAGTGGAATGAAAATACTTTGTCTAGTAATCAGGGTTTTTTTTATTCAATAGTGCCTGGTAGTTGTTGGAACTTTTCAGACAGGCTGTGGGCTGGTTTGTCTCATCCATGTCAGGAAATGAAATTGACAGATGTGAAGTCTAACCGTATTGGTGGTGTTTAGACTGAATCTGAAGTGATTCCTGAAATGACCCTGGACTTGTAGTTGTCTTACCAACCTTAAAAGTGTATTGTATAACTTTTCTGGTGAAGGAAAATGCTTTTCTCCGTGGAGATGTTATTGCTTTGTCTTGAAAGTTTCAGAGTATGGCATTAAACCTTTTTATCTTCATGGAGACCAAACCGGACCAAGTTACAGGTCAGATCTGTGGAGAGGCAGCCCCGCTCACAGACAGAATGCCTGTTTTTATAGGTATTTTTGAGCAATAAAACTACCCATAAAAGAATAAATGTAAGGTAGAGCTGTTTAATGTCATAAATTATTTTAATACACCACCTTTCTAAAACAAGTTGACCATTTTCTTTAAAAAAGAAAGACTCTAACTCTAACTAAATCACAGCTTTGGCAACCCTTACAGGAACAATAGATAGTCATTGAATCCAAAAAAATATTCCATAAAAAGGTTTGCTAACTGAATATTCAAGGTCTGTACTTTTGAGATAGGTAGCTGCCTGTAATCTTACAGGGGGCCTGTTCCAATGACTAAAATACAGTCATCACTAGTCACAACCTAAACATGCATGAGTCTACATTTAGTTTCCACATTCTCATCACAGCTGTGTTCTTTTTTTAAAATCTATCAGCCTTAACATCCCTTCTTATCCTTTCAGTAATCACAGGCACAGTCATCACTGCAGTGGTCAGAGGGGGAAGCACTTTTGCTACTGTTTCCATCATTAATGTGTACAAGGAGGGCAACCTGGTCATTCAGCAGGCCGGGAAGACCATGAGCACCAAGATCATAATTCTGTGCAAGAAATGTCCTTTTATCAGACGAGGTGAGTGCTGTTCTGATTTGCTTGGATCCATCATAAATGCATGATTCTAAAATATGTTGCAGATCTTGTTTAGAATAGCCTATGGCTCTGAGTTTGCCATTATTGCTGCACGGTTCGTTCCTGAGGTGAGGTGAGCGGGCAAACTCACTGTCCAACTATTCAGAAATATCCCGTATGTTCATATAGCTGAGCAATGAGGTATACATGAAGCTAGAGGAAAATGGGTACTGTTTCTGTGGCAGGTGCGGCAGCCATCTTGTGGCTGTAGAAAGAGCAAAATTGAAATAGAAAATTGCATTGATTAAATTATTTAAATTGACATAATAGTAATTTTGGTGTTCCAATAGTAGAGTACTGTAGTACAGAGAACTCTTGTCTGTCAGGACCTGTTTTCACTGAATTATCAAAATAAATGCTCACCTCAACAATGAATGCAAATTTACTGTAGTGTTACTGTTTGCATGTCATTTATCTGTTTGAACAGGGACATTAGATAAAGCAAAAATACAACAAAGTTAAATTACTCTCTATATTAGTTTGTTCTTGAGAAAAATGTTAGTCAGAACATGGCTAAAACTGGATCTGTTACTATAGTTTACCATGGCGATTTATCCTCTAGCTATAATTGTACCATGTTGCATCAGACTATGCTAGTATATGGCCATACGGTATACAAACGTGTTGTGTGGAGATTCTGATACTTGGCCTTCCTGAATGTCTCTGCCGTCACGCCGCCACTGCATTCAGGCTTTGTGTGTGTGACCCTGCCAGGCTTGAACTACGTGTTCATGGGCGAGGTGGACGAGGAGGGCCGTGGGAAGGTGGCCCCACACCATTTTGTCATGCCCTTTAAGACCAAGAACCAGAAAGGGCTCAACGGGCTGAAGAACAAGCAGTGCTGAGTCTTCTCCACTGGACTGCTTTGCCTTGGGCTCAGCTGTGGACGTGAAAGCAAATTTAAAATGTAAAATACTGTTTATATTTTTTGAGTAGGCTATTTATTAAAATTAAACCAGGCAATGGGCATGTTCTATACTCTCATTTCAGTCACCTTTAGGCATTTCCAGAAGTCTAAGTTTATTGTTTGGTTTGAGTTGCTGGAGGTTTTTAATTTGGTGATAACATGTGCAATAAATGTCTTATTTAATAAAAATTTAGCATTGGGAGAAGCACTTTCCATTTCCTCACTTACGAGAACAACGAATCAGAATAATTTCTACTGTAGATGATAATATGTACTGTTACTGTATTTACACATTGTTGCCAAATTATTTTCAAGTGGTGAAATAAAATGAAAATATTTTCATATGGAAAACGTCTGTGAATATTTATATTTCATTTTTCATTGGCTCAAATAAATGCCAAATAATAACTTTGGTTTCCTGTCTTTATTTGGACCATATAGCATGTCAAATACCAATGTAAACACTGAGGGCAAAAGTCCAAGTGACGCATGTGCAGGCCATGTGAATTCATCAACTTACAAAAGAATTTAGTCAGAAACATGAGCTATAAGCATACATAAACATTTATTTGCATTTCCATTGTAAAGAATGGCTTTCCTTATTTACAAAAAGCTGAATAATACTTAGAGGCCTGAGTCTGGACACTTTGGTAGACAATACTGTATATTATTTATAATGCTGTTCCAAAATGCCTCTATATCAAAGAGCTTTGTGTACATGCTCTGGTCACGTAGCATCCCATTTAAAGAAGAAAAAACATGAATAGGGTCAGTTCTTAGCTCCTGGGATAGAACATGGCATATTTGGATGTCCTGAAGCCAAGCAGGTCTCTCATCTCGTTGCGAAACTTGGACAGATCTTGTCGCAAATCATTGAGGTTTTCCACTGTGGCCTGATCTGTGCTCTGCATCTTCTGACGCGTTGAGGTTAAGTAGCGGTGAACCAAGCAGCACATGATCTTCTGGTAGTTCTCATCACGCTTCTGCTTTAGGTTCCTCACTTCCTAAAGTAGGAGAAAGAACGCAATGTTAGAAGGAGGGATACATCTTTGTCAATGACTTATTTAAGCCAGACAGAAAACAAAACTTTGTGTAAATAAATTATAATATATGGGCAGTTCTCGGGTATAATAAATACATAGGGCGGGTCACTTATGGAATTATATAACTACAATCATTTGGGTCATAACTGAAATAACAAAAGCCCATATTCGGAAAAGATCTATATATAATCACCATTTTGGAAGCAATTGTAATAGTTCTAATGGTTGCAATTTTGATTATTTGCTTAGCCCTGTAGGCTGGTGATATTAAAATATAAGATTATGGTTAGGCTTTCATACTGTTACTGTATGTAGTGTACATTATACTATTTTTGAGACTGTTACCTTGAGGCTGTTCTGTCTTTTGACTTTGCCCTTAGACGTATGTGAACAGATCCACTTTCTCAAACTGGTCACAAAGTAGCACACGGTTTTGGGAGAGGGGATGATGTTGAACGGTGGAGGCAGGGTGCACTTGTCATCAAAGTAGCTTAGCCACAGCTTGGCTCTGGCAAACTTCCACTCCTTATCCTCGTGATTCTGCACACAGTCCAAATATGCAATGAGAGAACTATTGAGAGACAAAGAGGACCAGTCAAAAGGTGCCCTATGAAACTTCTTCTGTTGGGCATGGATCTATCTTGCTCTTGCTTTGCTTAGAATGTTCTACAGTATAAAATTACACTCATCTATCTTGCATTTATTCACATACAGGTGTTTTCATTTCTTTAAAAAAATGTCCTCAAATTATGCATTCGCCTCTCCACAGATCTAACTTGCTTAACAGAGACAGATTGGCTTAAAGCCGTACTGTGGAACATTCCAGGTAAAGCAATATCATCTTCTTAGAGACGCAAAAAAAGCAGTGCACCTCTAAAAGTGCTCAAAGTTACGGTTATTTTGTATCAAATTAGCCATGGCTTTTCACAGTTTCCACTTACAGCTATTTGCCGGAAGCTCTTGTGCAGCATGGCGACCAGCAGTTTGGTCAAGACGATTACCACCACAATGTTGTAAGTGCCGATGATCATGGCCCCTACAAAGGAACGCAGCTCCTCGGTGTAACTGATCCGAGTGACGAAGAGTGCAACATGGGCCAAAGAGAAAATGTACCAGAACAAAGCGTAGCATGTCCCCATAAACCTGTAACACAAATAACAGTAGAGGGTAAGTGGCTACAAATGGATGCCTTATGTGGAATGTGCAGAGGTAGATTTGTTTCATCTTGTGAGGGCATCAAGGTGGTTGTAACAGTTGCACGAGGAGTAGTAGAAGCCACAGGGGGACAAAACAACGTACTTTTTGAGTCAATATTAAGTTCAAAAGGTCAAGTTCCGTAAGGTCATCCAGCATACAATTTCAACTGCCAAATGATTACATCTTACTATGTCAGAAAACAGAAGATTTGACAGTGGCACCAAGTGGTCATGTTATAGTTAAAACAACAGTGTATTTTTAGTATGAATTGAGTCCTGAATGCAATGATGACACACTTTCTGATGGATATAGTAAAGGACAGTCCACTATAATTATTGAACCGCTCCTCAAATTTATCTTATAAACAATCAGTATTTTCTGGGGCAATGGGATGCTGTGATGTCAGTGAAACAATACTGAGTACCTCAATGTATATTTATGTGTGAATTGATGCTTTCCAGTACTTGTGCTTGACCCTATGTTGTCTGTTGCCCCTTACGAGTGGAAGGCATCGTTGCTCTGCTGTTCACAGAAGATGCCCTCGCAGTCTTTGGGTGGGTTCTTCTCTCTGTCTTTCATCTCGGTGCCGTACAGCTGGGTCATTCCAATGGTAAAAGAAAACAGCACCAATAGAAAGAGGCCCAGGAACTTCCCAAACTCCTGCAGCATCTGGCCCATAGAGATCTGTCAGGACACAAGACACACTGTTAGAAGACACTTAATACCATGGTGCAGGCTGCTCCACAACTGACTAAAAGCTTGTTTTGTAGCGTGTGCCCTTGTAAGAGAGGTACCCTGTGGGGAAAGCAAAGAGATTTATTTCTGCCTGAGGTGAAGCAGACAAACATGGAAGACACACAAGTCTCCCCACCTCATTCCAATGGCCTTATTTATGGACTGGAAGAAATACTGTACTGTTGAGTGTAGTGTGGTCAAAAGAATACATAAACACATTTTTACACGTTTTCAAATATTAGTGTAGAGGTTTTTATATAAAACTAAAGACTTTTTAAAGGCTAAAGATTTTTTTTCTTTTATATTTTTGTACATGAGTACACCAATCTAGTATGTCCATAGCCTCTCTCTTGCACTGTACAGTCCCTACCGGTTTGCAAGAGATGCTGAAACATCCGTGTCCAGTGACTGAGATGACCACTCTGCCGGTTTTCACGGTGAAGGTCATGCAGCTGCTGGAGGAGTGGACGGATCTACAGTTACTGAGGTTCTTCGTGACATGTACAAAGCAGGGTTGTTTTAGTACTTTCTGTTTGGATCACGTTTGATTTAAGGTCTGAGGTTGAATCCCATTGCCCTGCCTGACAGCCTAGTTAAATCAGTACTGTACAAACATAGAGGAATGTGGAAGGTTACAACTCCTCACCTCCATGACGCAGGTGATGTGGCTCAATGTGCAAATGCAATGAGGTCAACAAAAACCAGCACTCATTTGAATGGAACTGGAATACATCTCTGTTTTTGAGATATGTAGATTAATATCTTAAGATTGTAGTAGTATTAGCAGTCATAGTAGCTCTAATGTGTATTCTTCATTAAATATATCTGCCCTATGTTCCAACAGAGGCCCTGATAATGAGTTTGACCTCTCAACAGATGCCCCCAGGAGGCTCCACTATCTACACAAGCACTGCACAAAACTGCCTCATCCTCAAGGACTCAACTAAATCAATGAACAATCCAAACAAAAGAACTGCAATGTTAACAGTAGGTTTACACAATTATGCATGATTGCACAGTATCCTGACACAAACACACACTTCAAATGTGATGGGAGATAACACATATGCACATACATGCACACCCCCACTTTTATAATCATACACATCTAATCTTTATTTATATAAACATGTTTTTATTGCTCTTATGCATTCTTATTGAGACCTATGAACCGCTATAAAGCCTTAAAGAAACTATGTACACTGCACTATTCCTGTTAAAAAAAACAACAACAACAACAACAAAAAAAGTATTACAACCAAACCTAGGTTGCCTTTGCCTTCACCAGAATGTAGAACACACACACACATTTCTCAGCGTATGGACAGGCCAAGCCTCCCGGAACTGCAGAGGCTGCACTAGCACTGATCCAAGATAGGCTGCTGGTGCTAAGGTTTAAGTAGTGACCATTCAGATCAGAGAGAATCCTTCTGGGCTTAAATAAATGGATTTAGACATCACAGCTATCAACCAAAATGAAAAACTCTTGTGAGGCGTATTCTTCTTTATAATCGGATAATCATCTTGAAAACCAAAATACCAATTTGTAACATAAAAATCTTGACCATCAAAATTTTGTATCTGGGGACACAGTTAGGTCCTGTGGAATCTTACATACACTTCCTTAATGATAACCAAATTACTGACCATTACTGAAAACTTGTGACTGAAGTTACTAGTTATTTTTTCCCTCTCTTGTAATAGGGGCAAGACTTAAATGAATGAATTATAGCCACATTCTGTAAACAGATATTTGAGATACACCCTAAAACATAGAGACTGGATGGATTTTCAAATATAACTCAGTCAGTTAATACAATAGAAGATGTAGTTTATATTGACAGTTGTTCATTCTGAGACAACTCAGTCATTTGTGATCTCACTTCCTGCTACAGCATCATAGTGATATACAAGTTATGCACAACCTAGTCATCCTCTCCAGAGTGCATTTCTTCTCCCATTACTGATTTGTCCTGTTCTGGAGACACATGGTCAGAGCATCCATCTTTTCCACTTGTATCCACACTGGACTGACTCACTGTCTGCAAGCATGTGTGCTGGACTACCTTTACAGCACACTCTAGTCTCTGTACTGAAATATGCAGGCTCCTGTGCACGAGTGGGTGTGTCTGCCATGTGAGTGTGGTCGTGGATACACAAGGACACATGTATTTCCAACAGCTAATCGTTTTTCCATCGTGCTAGGCCAGACGGTGATGTCACAGGGCCCGTAAGGAAAGGAGAAAGGGGGGAGGGAGAGAGGGGTGACTGGGAGGGATTATACTTAAACTCCTAATTAACAATCTCCAGCTTCATTAGAAAGTTTTATGGAGAAACCACTAATAGGTTCTTTAGATAATGACAGGAAAGTCAG